GGGCCGGGCGGGGCTCCCCGGGCGCGGAGCCGAGCGGAGCGGAGCGGCCGGACAGACAGACGGACAGACGGCACCTACCTGTGGCATGGGAGAGGTGAGTGGGGCCTTGCCCCGGCGGGTTCAGGGGTATTGCCCGGACTTGGGTCTCTCTAAGCTGCCTGGGCTCTCCCTGGAGGAGGGCTGGAGCACTGGAGTAACAGTAGGTGGGGTATTCGGTTGAGTCTCTTGTCTTCTCTTTTCTTTTTCCCATCCCCGCGGTGTCGGAGTTTTCTCTTTTTTTTCTCTCTCTCTCTCTTTTTTTGTTTTTCTCCCCCCCCTTCCCCTTATATTTATTTATGTATTTATTTACCTGGCATTAGCATTTGGGGAGCTGTTTTACCAACAAGTTCTCCTCCAGCTTGTTAAGTTCTCTCCTGTGCACCACCAAGTGAAAAGAAAATTCTGTGCGGTCCCACTTGGTACCTCTGCCGTAACAAAGAATACGTATTCTTCCTAATTTACTGTGAAATGTAGTTTGCTGCTGTGTAGGTGGAGCAGGGTGAGCTCTAGATGGAGGATTTTCCTCTGTGTCATCATGTCCCCTTGGTTGCTAAGCAGTGGTGACCACATCTGTGGAAAGATGGAAGAAGCACAGAGGAAAGAGCAACAGGAAGAGCCAGGAAGAACAGCAGAATCTCCTCTCATGCACCCTTATCTGCTGGGTATTCTTGTAGAGAATTAACACCAATGCATTAATCTTTCTTATGCACCTGTTTCCTTAACTCTGAACTTCTGGCATTCCAGCTTACAGTTAAGGTGCAGAAAAGTTATTTTGGTCAACCAAAATGGTTTGTCATGACTTTTATACAAAGAGAAGACTTTTATACAGAGAGGTCGTTTATAGAAGTGCACTATGTGCTTCCCATAAGTGGCACTGCTTCAGCCTCAAAAAAAAAAGTCTTGATAGACAAAAAACATTGTGGGAACAATCCTTATATGAAAGTGTGTGGTGATTTATGAATAGGAAGCTTTTAGTCACAACAGAAGCTTTCCCTCTTTCCCCATTTACCCTTCCTTGTGTAAAATCAGATTTTGTTGTTTAACTTGAGGACTCCAATGTATTTAATATTTCTTTGTTCACCAATATATCTCATAGTTTCTGGGTTATAATAAAAAACCTTCTAGTCTTAATGGGATGCAAAAAGCAAAATTAAGTTGTGGAAGGGTAGATTTAATGTTATTTTTTTCAGCTGAACTTGTTGAGCTTGAGCAAATATGTGCATTGGATATTTTAACAACAACAACAACAGCAACATAAAAAAAAACAAATAAAAGCCCAACCAACCAAAAAAAAAAAAAAAACCCAAAACAACAAAAATCAAAGAAAACCCCCAAATTAAAACAAAACCACCCACCAACCCCGCCCTCCCCAAAAACTGTGGTACTATATGACATGTTTGCGATTTGATGCATAGCACCACTGCACCATTAAGGTGTGAATTTTGATATGGAATGAAAGGCAGTTCTGACACTGCCATTTTCATGTCAGTTGTATGTGTGTCTAAACATTTTTCAGGTTTTAAGTGGCCCGAAGATTTACTTTTGTTACAATCTGCTCAGTTGCTGTGTTGTTGTCACTGTTTGCCAAACACAGCTGTTGTAGGCAAATAGGAGGAATCGATCCTGTATGCTGGCTCTGATCTCACTGTGAGAAACACAGCAGCCTCTTGGCTGGTCCTGATGGAAAAGGGTGTGTCAGGGTGGGAAGGCAGAGCTCTGTGTGTGCATCACACAGGGACATTCGGGATGGTCAGAGGTGTGTACAAGATGCTGCAAGATCTGCCAAGGGCCATGTTGGCCATGAGCCAGTCCAAGGGCTTTGATATCACCCACCACTTCACCCCCACTCCTCTGTTTTGAGGGTTCAAGAGGAAGGTTTCATGTAGGCTCTTGTTGTTTTCTTCTTTCTTACCTATATTTAAAAATACTGTGTTTTTTAACTTTTTCGATGTTTTAATGCATCGAAAGGTGTATTTAGCTAAAGTCTATACAAGTGCAGACTTAATGAAAATACAAGTTCTGTGTAAATCTTAGGCATTGATGATTTTATATTATTCCCAAGAGATACAAAAGCAAACATTGCCCTTTCCATATTTAAAATATTATTCAGTATTTGCAGATGAAATTCAACAGAGAGAAATGGAAGTTGGTAAATCAGGTTGTTGATTTAAAAACTGCACACGTGAAAAGAAATGCTAAGTGCAGATAAATAGTATAAGACATGAACAATTTTAAGGGTTTTTAATCAGATTTTGTTAGCCTAAGGTTTTATTACCAACAGTACAATGTGATGTTGACAGCTTTTACCTTCAATATTTTATTGTAAGACTTGTTGCTCTTATTTGAGGCAAAGATGCAGCTTTGAAGTAATGCTGAAAAACACTTTGTTTTTCTTCATGTAAGTAAATATAATTTATTGTTAATACATACTCACTACTAATAAGCAGTGCCAGCATGTAGAAGACGTTCCATCTTATTCGAGTCCAAAGAAAAATAATGTTTCTGGACCTAATCCTTCAAGAATATGTGTCCTCATTTAATGATTTTATAGGGACACTGAGCTGGGTGCCTTCTGCAGCATGTCCTTTGGGTCTGCACAAGTGCATATAATCCAGAACACATGGAGACAGAACTGGTATAATTTAATCTTCAAAAATGTTTTCTTTTCCTGTTGAAATAAATTGTAAACTCAGCCCAGGACAAGGATGTATTTATCAATAATAATCACGGATGTCATGCTCCTTAGAGAGGGTTGAGTCATCCTTAATGATGAGTGATTGCACTGGCTGAAGCACTTGTGCTCAAAGCACACTGCTACCAGGGCAGATTTTCCATTAATTGTCTTGTTCCTCTTGTTAAGGTTTCTGTTACCATTAACTAGTTGATTTCTAGATGGGAGATTAACTCTTTCTCAGATTTTTAAGTACAGGTTGCATTTTCTCCTGTGATGTAATAAGTTCAGTATAGTTTATAGATACATAAAATCCATTTTAGAAGTTCATTATCAAAGCAGAAGTTTAAAAGAAAAATTAAATCATCTTGTATGCAGTTGTTTTGTACTAGGCAAAGCCCCTCCCCTCAACAGAAATTTGAATATATTTTCATATGTGAAAAGATAGATTTAATACAGTTATTTCCATAGAAGTTCTGTCATGTTTTCTATGAGGACTGGGCTCTCTCTTTGAAAATCTCACTGAAATTTTCTTGCCTACGATTCAACATGTTAAATAAGGAAAAACAGCAACAATGATTCCAGCAGGCCTCTTTTGTGCACTTTTGTGATGTATTTGTGACATACATTAAATGGGATTCCCTTCTGTAGCTAAAGCTTTAATTGATTCTTGGGTTATTGCTGTGTTGATGAAACCAGTGATGTATAGATTGAGGCCTGGGATTTTTTTTTAGCTTGAAACAAAAGCTTTCTCACATGATGCATATGCAGAATTATCATCCAGTATTATCCTGTATATTATCCTGTATGTTAGGGTTTAAGAGTCTTATTTGAAGTTGCCATAGCTTAGTGGGGCCTGAGTGGCCGAGAGACCTAAAGTGTCTCTCTGTGCCCTTGCAGGGTTACCTGCTGCTGCAGAGGGGCTGGAGCAATGTTCTCTCGCAGCTGTGTGCGTGCTGGGGCCCCTCAGCACTGGCACTGTGCACAGGTACTTGACAGCATACAGAGATGATGCCACTTATGCTGTACACAAAGGAGGAGCTGGCAGGTCATATCTAGCTTTTTATTGTTTTGGGTGCTCCCAAGAGCCCACCAAGTTCTGGGACAAAGCAGGCAACTCCTTTGTGTTAGACTCCCTGTTTGGCTTTGTGTCTAGACAACTGTGATTCGCTGACCACATTATCCTGGTGTGAAAACGAGTAGATAATCAGTGACAATATGTTACAGAGGAGAAATAACCAAATACAAGCACAATCTTGGCCCTCACTTTGATTTAAAGTGCATGTAACTTTGCAATGCTTTTATAGATACTGATTTGCCTTGCTACAGTATCATTGAAAAGGGTTTTTTTTGTGCCTTAAGTGTGAAATATAAAATCCTACTGTGTTCATCATTATATCTCCAGGTTTCCTGAATGTATAATATATGTCTTAAAATATTTACAACATCCCTGGGAAGTATTTTGCCTAACTATTTTACTGTGTATAAAAAAATTATATACCAGGGGTTAGGCTATTACAGGTTGTATAAAGGTTGCATCTTTCCTTTCCTCTTACATTTTCTGTATTTCTTTACTTTCCACAATTATTTTAGTAATTCTTGACTGTTTCACACCTCACCTCCCTTACCATAGCTACCCTTTCCTTCTGATATATCCACCCCCACCCCAACTGCCTCCAACCACTGCACTGATGTCCCTCCCAGGTGAGACAGTTTTTCTGTTCTCATGCTGCATGTGTAGAGGAAATGTTTGATTAGGCAGCAGCCAGGAAGGAGCTTTTTGTTTCTTCTTGTACCCAAATAATTAATGTGAATACTCTTCTTGACCTGGCTTGCTCAGCTAGCATGCAAATTCTTTGTACTAATGAGAAATGTGCTTTCTGAGCAGCTGGGCAGCCAGTGAGGAAATGTTTATTTTGAAGGTGTGCCACCTAGTTGAGACCTGTGCTTCTTTTCCCTTAATCCATCAGTGGCTTCTCTGGGATCTGCTGCCTGGGAGCTGCACATTTGCTCAGCATTGAGACTGTGGTTGTTCAACAAGAGGTGTTTTTTTATGTGCTCAGCTTTTGTATCTCCACTCCGATTCTGTCTGGGAACCCTTCTCTTACACCAAGGTTTACATTCAAGAGAAAAATTCAAAGGACATTAAATAAATTCAATTACTTGAAAATATGCAGTACTTTCAGTGTCAGTAGGATGTATAGCCAGATTAATTGGTACAATAAGAGAGAGAAGAAAGCATTTAGAATGTGTTTTTCTACAGTTTGTTTATGAAAGCTTTGCATCATTCTGTTGAAAAAAACTCCAAACTTTCTGCTTTGCGACAAGTTTTACTGGTTTTATTCATCTGGTGCACAGGGTGTTTTAAAGTCTTAAGGTTTTTTCCTACCTAGATATTGGTGGGGAAAAGAGAGGGTCATTATCTGAGAGCTGAATTACTGGATGGAGTATTTCTAGTATTGATTTGTCTTTGATTACATACAGGCCAACCAAGGCAGGAGGAAGGAGAGAGGGGGGGTTGAACAGCTGGCACAGTGAAGTGGTACTTAATGAGGAAAATAAAGTGAAAGCACTACTTAGACAAACATGTCCATAGAAAGACCAGTGGAGACAAAGGGACTTCATTTTTGGAATCGCCTCATATTAAGGGTGACACGAAGGTGACTGCTTTCCATAGAAATCCATCAAAATCTGAAAGGTCTTTATGACAATAGGGACCTCAGGTTCAGCAGTCAGAGGGATCTCATCCAGGAATAGAGCCCCTTACTGGCTAGGATACATCAGTTTTCATGGTGTAGGTTTTTTTTCTTCTATCCCAATGAAAAGACAGTTTCTTTTCTGTTACAGTATTTCTGCTTTAGGAGTTGTACTCCAACTTTTGTGTTGTGGTGGTACTGACTTGTGTTGAACTTCTGTTGATCTCCTGGTCTGTCTTAGAGGATAAAAGAGTGAAGCTTGCTTTGCCTCTGCCTGCAGGCAATCCTTTTTGGATTAGGTACAATAGTCTTGATCAACACAGCCTGGATTTCTTCCATAGCCTACTCAAGAGATTTCCAGGCATGTAAATACATGACATAGTGGACTTCTGTGTTAGATGATTTTGAGTTCTGTATTATATACCACTTCCATTAAGAAAAATATATTAATTTACATTTGGATTCAGAGCCTATTTCTTGAAGCTTGGTTTTCTGTTTGCAGGTTAACTGATGTACTTTTAAGGAGTTACTACATTTTCCCTTGTTAAAAAGATTATACAGGTCTTTTTATAAACAGAGCTCTTGACTTACTCTCAAGTTATTCACTTCATTAATAGTACGACCCTCAGTTTTGGTGGGAAAATTTACTTTAAATCTGGACTGATGCCTTGCACAACTTTTAAAGAATTTATAAGGATGTAAAACCAATGAAAATTTTTATGATAATTTCCCTTTACAGTCTTAATGATTTAAATTCTATTTTATGTCTTTCAAGTGATCAATTTTCAGTTCTTTTTGTAAGGCAAAGACTGTCATAGTCAAGAAGAGATTTAAGATGTTTTAGGGATAATATTTGATAATATTTTGTAGAAGTTTCTGTGGTCTAATAAATATTATTGTTTAAATTAGATTTTATAAATTTAATGAGAGTCCTTTTGACTTGAGTACCTAACATTCATGATCACCTATTTTTTCTTTCTTTCCTTGATTCTCCTTCCATCTGGTCACTGGAGGCATATTTTATTTTTTTATCTTGTTATATCTTTGTACTGTCACTAAATTCAAACAGAGTTCTCTCCTTCTTTGTAGTGAAGATACTACTTCATGAATGATGAAAAAGAACAAAATTACAGCCTTCAGAAAAATAATAAGGATGATCTTCAAGTTTTTATGTTAAAAATCTCAGTTCTCAGTCAGATTGAGGGCAATGTTCCTCCCATCTTTGGGCAAGTGTGTGAAATGATAGTAGCTTAGTATATTACAAGTAATTTGAGAGATGTAAAATTATTTACCAGCGAATCAACTAGCCACAAAATCCTTTTTTCATGTTTTTTTTTCATCATGGTGATGTGTGCTCGCTGGTATCCTTTGATGGAGATGGGTGTCTAATTGAAGAAGTCTCAAGTAACTGTTTTTCCAGAAATGGTGTTTTAGTGCCGTTCCTCTGGCTTCTTTTACATTGTGAATTTTCTGGCTCTTTTCTAAAGGCTATGGCATTATGTTTATAATGGGTATGTATTTGCTTCTAGTTTTAGAAAGTTGTACACGAATTTGAAGATATTAATTGCTTTTGTTTTCTTAAACTCATAGAGCTGTGTTTTTGGCTAAGCTGAAAAGAGTGATGTACACTTCTGGAAATCTAAGAGATGCAAAGAAGTGAAGGGGAAGGAATGCAGGCACAGACTAATAGGATATTCCCCTCTCCTGATGCATACTTGATTAAATTATTTATTCCTACTCTGTGACTGGGAAGGATGAAACGCAGAAATTTTTGAAGCTGAATGTCATTCCATAGTGCTGACGAAGTACAGTGTCTCTGGTGGTCTGGACTGAAACAGCTGTTTTCTTCTTGTCTGAAATAGAAAATGGCAGAGTATTATTTGAAAGAAAGAAAATTACTTTTTTTAAACCGACTGCTGCACTTTATATCCTACACTTTTAATGACTGCTTTCTGTGACTGCCTTGCAATTTTGTTTTATATTGCACAGCCACAATGCAATTAATCACTTTCTGCAGCAAGATAGCAATTCAGGCAAAGACTCCCTTGTTATAGGGAACTGTATACTATTGCACATTTTCAGGGAAAGTTGTGTGCCTACAGCAAGGAACAAGGTTAGATTTACTTTCTTAGTTTTGGTTGTGCTTTACTGGTTTTTGGGGTGGGTGGGGGGAGGGAGGACTTTTTCGTTCTGTGTCCCCTGCATGCTCATGACTACTTTTAGTTGCTGTTGCTGTAGGTACGTTTGTATATGTGTATATTTGCAGCTCTATAAACATCTGCCTGTAGGCTGCCCATTCTCATCGGGTGCTTTGTTGTACAAAGTAAATGATTATCAAGTGTAATTTCTGAAAGTATTCCTAAAGGCTCTAGATTTTATGGTGGACACTGATAACTATCATGACTTCTTCAGATGTTTCCTGTGCTGATCTTGCAGTAGTAATAAAAGTGTGACTCTCATCAAATGCTTTCATATGTGGGAGGTGGAGCCTTTAATGGTCAAAAAGATATTTAACTCTCTGCACTGGAGACAGGGACAGGCCTTTCATCAGGGGCACACAGGGACATCTTTCACCCCTTCAGATTGTTCAAAGCCCTGTCCAACCTGATGTGTTGAACCACACCAAGGGTCCAGGTGGGTTTGTTCAGAAGGGTTATGAATTACTGAATTCAAGGCAGGTGATTCCAAGCCAGTAGATGGTTCTGTGACCTCTGAATAAGCATTATTGGCAGACACATTTCTCTGCAGTTCTTTTTCTTCTATCATGTGGCACACCCTGATAAGGCAGTGTGAATTTAGGAGATTTTTTTTTTTTAATATAGTCACACTGCTAATAAAATGATTGCAAGAAATTTGAATATTTCACTATTTACAGAACCTAGGTCAATAAAACTACCAATTTTGTCTCCTTATTCTTAATCATTGAATTTTTAGGCACATTTTGGGAAAATACAGCTACTTGGTATTCTTACCTGAACTGAAAAGAAATTATTTTTAAATTCTTTATATGTTGTCAATGACCAGAAGAGGTGATTGAACCAGAACACTACATTTATCTTTGTCTAAAGATCATAATGAAAAAGCTCATAGAAGTCTATTCTTTTTTTCCTGATCTTCAATAATCTTTTATACTTAATTGCTGAACATTACTTCTCATTGTACAATCAGTGACATCCTTTAAAATGGATTTTCAATCAGGTAAATTGGTTGAAGAATGTATTTCCCTGGCTAGATTCTAGTACTATTAATGGTAATACTTCTTTAATAGTTGTCAATATTTTAGTATTTTTCAATAATCCGATGTGATAGTGTTTCACTGCTGCCTCTTACTAATTTTTCAGCTAGCAATTTGTGTCAGCCAGTGCAGTCTTCATTTTGAAACTCTAAATTTAATTTGTAGAGGGTAAATGTTTCCCCACATGTTCAGTGGGGAAAAATAAATTATGAAATTAGATTAATATGTCAGAATTTTCTTTCCTTTTTCATTCAGCAGGTTTTGCTTTCTTTTAGAGGATAGTGTCATATCTGTTTATTTGTTCATCATTTCCTCTGTGGACACAATAGTAGCAATAACTTGGGGGTTTTGTTTTATAATAGCTTAATCTAATCCAGTTCATTTTTCCTGTCCATAATATTTGTTTACGCAATCTAGAACAGGAGCAATTTTCAAAAGCAAATAAATATGGATTGTAAATGAAAACATGAGATGTGTTTCCAGTTGTCCTTTAGTCTTCAGTGGTGAGGGTTTTGTGCAAGACTGTCCTGTTGAGTTCTTGCCAACTGGATGTAATGTCAGATACATTTGAATGTAGACTTGTCTCACTGTATTAAGCCAAGATAAAAAGGAATGGAGGAGGCCAAATACTTCAGAAAATGTTATGACTTCTGGATTCAAGCCCCAGAGAAAACTACTGCCAAATTTGCCTGGAAGTTCCTTTGTTCTGGCTTGCGATCACATGAATGCCTGAAAATGACTGATAAAGACTGAGAGAATTACCATCGTTCATAGGAAAGACTCAGTGCTAGTGAGGAAAAGTTTCCTTATAAAAATAATTACACTCCTAAACAAAACTGGGCAAAACAGTGTAGTAAATCCAGGGCTTGTTTGTGAAAGAGGCCTGTGGCTATCAAACTAGTTTCACCTTGACACTTTTTAACACTTTAAATTCAAGTAACCTGTTTTCCAAGTTTCTTTCACAATCTCTTTTCCATTTGTCTTTCACTCGTGATAGGAAGCAATTCTGTATTAAACTATTGGTTGGAAGGGACCACAGTGAGTCATCCAGTCCAACCTCCCTGCTCAAGTAGGGTCATCCCAGAGCACATGGCAATCTGTAAAAAAAATCAAATAAATAACTTTCTAAGTAATTGAATCTCCACTAAAACAAAAACAACAACAAAAAAAAACAACCAACCAACCAACTGAAAAATGAACAAATGTAATTTTAAATGCCATCATGGTGTGAAGTGTTCTAACATATTCTCAATTTCCTTCTCATGCTCTCATGTTCACTGGGAAGCAGATAGTGAACTTTGTCCATGAGCCTGACAGCCTGAAAGTCTCTTGTAGCAACACAGCATTGTGTTTCAGGCTGTTGAACTGAATGGAGTAATTGGTATTGAACTCTCATTTCAGTTCTACAGGCATGTTCTGCTTCTGTGGCTTTTTTAATGGATGTCATTAGTAAACAATTTTTTTCAGATACAAAAATTCAGTAATATACTGGAAGGAGCAAAATTCTTTTTGAAACTAACAGGTGAACCTTTTCAAGAAAATGCTGCCATTCGTATCTGTGTTGATGTATGCTGATGCCATTTTCGGCTTTCAGCATGTTTGCAGGAAGCCCTAGAATGGATGTGGGAATTTTGCCTCCGCGTTGCTATAAACTGAGCCAGGTTTTACCAACCATCCGAGTCTGTATCCATTTGCAGAATGGTAGCTGAGTCTTTCTAGGAAATTAGACCAGCACAGTAGACTCAGATTACACTAATGAGGCCATTAAATGAGATATAGGGAGCCTGTCTGGCCAGAAAGAGGAATGGAAAGAGGTCTGTCTGTACTCCTTGCTTTGTCTTTTACATTCTACAGCCAGTTTTCACATTCTGTGTGCTTACTTTTGTGGGATAGTTGCTTTCTTCCTCCCCCTGCCCCCCTGCCTTCTTTTTTCCTGTGTTCTCTTACTTGCCAAAAGGAAAAAAAAAATCTTTTCAAGAATTTGAGAGAGGACCTTACATAAGTGGTGTTTTCAGGCTAAAAAGCTCATGACAAAGCACTAACAAAGCACATTGTCTTTCTAAAGTCTTCCAAATTACATATCTGTTCAGTCATGCTCTTTGACCATTTTACTCTTAGTGGAAAATCAAAGTGCAATGAAATGGCCAAGTTTTAATATAGTTGTTAGAAACATCTAGTAAAATTCCATCATGTATCCAATGTTACCCATAACAGCAAATAAACTTAATGATTGCTTCAGAATTTTAGCAGTTTTCAGTCAAGGGAAACAATTCTTTCCTACTATAGGTAGATAGGTACTTTTCTGCTATGCTCTAAATGATAATGTTACGAGCTTTATGGCAGATAAAAACCAGACAGTGTACATTTTAACGATTCAAGAACCTTTTTTTTACTGTTTCAAATCTACTGAAACAAGTTTCTTTGCTGTACTGATACTAATTTGTATAATTTTAATTTTATTATTATTCAGGAGGACTTTCCTAATGTAAAACCTCTTCAGGTAATAAAATTTGGTTTGGGGAACTTTAAAAAGCTCATTCAGTTTAAGTTCCTAATTCACTTTTGTTGTTCAGGGGGAAACTTTCAGCAGTATTTTTTGGAAGCTGTACTGGTTTTACATCATTTATCACTGTTGCTTTGCAGTGGTGACTTGTGGTAGTGGTGGCCCTGTTCTGAAGCAGAACACAAAAAGGAGAATAAAGTTTTGATAACAGGCAAGCAATAACTTACAGCAATTATTCCAGAACTCCACCTATGACAATATGAGCCAGAAGGCTGGAGCCTGCAGCTGGTGCTGAAGGCTGAGAGCTGGTGAAAGAAGCCTGGACTCCTCCATGAGGACTGTTTGAAGACCCAGTGCAAGAGTATGTGTTAGTGACCTCAAACACATCCCATGAACATACTTATGCTTAGTGTAGATTATATAAGGTAACCTTAGCCTCCTGTTGAGCTGGATTTTGAACTACCTACCTTGAAAAGGTGCCATGTACAAACTTTAAGTGATTTACTTTGAGCATTCTGATAAATGTGGCTCAACACATGCCACTTGTAAGAGCCAAAGTAATCAAAAATCCCATGGATGTGGATGTGTGCAGTTTCTTTGCTGTGCATAATGTTTATGTACTTTGAAATATAATTGTGTTTAATTTATTTAGTACTGTATTAATAATTCATTAATACGAACTTGCAGGGTCTGAGCAAGTTGTGCAGCAGTTTGATTTGCTGCTGAGGCAGTCACTCGGGGGAGTAAATGAACTTTCAGGGGGTATATTTTAATGGTTCAGCAATGGATTCCTAGCACCTAGCTATAAAAAAATGACAGAGGCTCTCAATTTCTTTCCCTGTTCCCAGAACTACATTTTGGGGAATCTGGATGTTCCCTCCTAAGGAGTTCAAATAGCTAAAACAAGTTTAAGTGGTGTACTCTGTTTTGTAATTAACAATTATTGAATAATAAGGACTCTATGAAGAAAATAAACTTATCCTTTGTGATAGTTGCCCTTCCTTCATGTGTTCTCTCAGCTAAGGAATGCAAGGAAAATAAACACTGCACAAGTACCATTATTATTTGAAAATATGTGCAGAGAGGATTGTTTCATAGCTTAATCTCTAAGCAGCTACATTATGTCATTATGTTGTATCCACTGAGATATTTCTTTTTTCTATTTATCTTTTCAGCATCAAAACAAGGAGTTAGATATATGTTCATTTCAATAAACAGATAGAAGTAATATTTTAAAGTTTTCATGGTTGACTTTGCTATGAATTCGTACAGAAAGATGATCCAAACTTATAAAAATGAAGGTCGTTATGTAATTGACTTGATATTATCATCTCTTGTGTCATAAAAAAAGTGTTTTGGAGCAAAGGTCACCAAGCACACATTATCAGGGCTTTGTGATGGAAACTATGTAAAGTCTTAGTTTGTCATAAATTTGTTAATTGACGTATAAATAACAGCAGGAAAGTGAAGAAGTAATCTGGAGAAATGAGGAGGCAAAACCCCAACACACAGATAATGAAACCTTGCAAGATTGAGCACCACAATTTACAAAAACAAATCTGACCCACAATATAACATAAACACAAAAAATGTAAAAATAAGTTTCAGTGACTGGTATAATTTATTTGACTCACAGAAAACTGAACTCATGTCACCAAATGAAAATTCTGAGAGAAGTATTTTTACTATAAATACATGAAAGTAAGAAGTGCTGATGGGCTATTAAAGTGAGTAACACCCTTAGTATAGGAGCAAATCTGATATAAACTTGTCTTTAGATTTTAAGAGGAGTTAATAGGCTGAGGAAGCTTTAAATTAGGCTTACTATGCAGGGAGCTGGCTACATGACTTAATTGGACCTAACTAGAAGCAGGGTCTTGACGTTTTGAACAATGTTTCTCTGGTCTGGAAAAATGTCCAAGTAGTCATACAAATAGCAGAAATTCTATCATTGTCAGCATAAAAATGTGTATATTGCATTTCTGGCATGCATCATGTTTCTCACAGTTTTTCCATGCCTTGACAATAGTAAAAACCTCTTACAGTTTATTATTTGCTATGTGTTGGCTCTATTCCAAGTCGGCTGCTTGATGCATGGGGATTGAATTGCTTGTTTGTGAGAACTGAATTTCCTAGATCTGCATGAATGCATTTTCTGACATAAAGGAAAGCCAAACTGATCTTCTTTAAAGTGGTTGCAAATTCTAAAAAATGGGTTTATGTTAGAGAATTCTTCTTTTTTAAGATCAGCTGTAGCATCCTCTTTTAAACCTTTATTATTGCTTCAGTATTAATATTTTTTGATGTCTTCTGTGTATTACCATAAGTTCATAAATTGAAATCAGGGGCTATTGAATTGAAAATAGCTAGTTTAGAATATCTTTGGAACTGATACAGGTCATATAAAGCAAGTTTCTTATAAGGAATAGAATCCATTAAACTGAACAGAAATGCATTTTGTCTTCCATAACCATTTATTTTGGTTTTTAAAATTATTTTCATGGACAATCTATTGAGAATGAAATTGCAGACAAAAGAATGACATGGTAAAATATTTCCTTTAAAAATTAGCTATCCCACTTAGTGCTATTGTGTTGGCACAATCTTTTGTTGAGAAATATCAGGGGTGAAATGTAGCATAGGTCTAATATATTCAGTCTCAAAGCAATAAATAATTCAGAAACCTTTTAGCTCTTATTGATGTTTAGGAGCAGATACATTCTGGATTAAACCTCTGTCCTAAGAATTTTCTGGATTTATCTTAAAACCTCCTGCTTGTTTTGCAAACAGTCACAGAATTGTGAAAATGATGTAGCAGTAATAAACCCAGCTTATTTTATGTAGAACTTGAAGTCTCTATCACTGCTCAATGGCAATATATTAGTTAATAGAGTCTTAATTTATATAGTAGAATTAAATATCTGTGGGAAAAAAACCAACTTATTTTTTTACATACAGAAATGCATAAAAAAGAGCATAACAAAGAAAATATCTGTAAATTTGCTTATGACTCGTCACATTGGACTGCTTGCCTAAATGAAATTCACTGAACATCTTTACCTGGCTGTCATGATGGTAGCTTCTTATTTTTAATGAAATTTCATACGTGTGAGACTTAGGTGTTTTTTGAGACACAGTAGGTTCAGTAGTATGGCTTCTTTAGTACGCTGAAAGCTTTATACAAGTTACTCAAATAACAATATGAAATGTACCATAGCAGAGAGAGCATCGGAAGCAATACTGTAAAAATTCATCACTATGTTGTAGCATATATAGTGGGAAGAGCAGATGTGTTACTTCTACCTCTGAAAAATGTTAAGATAAAAATACTGTGTTACAGAAACACATTTTGTCAGTACTGAGGGTTTGTTGCTGACTGGTTTGGGTTTACGCTTGACCATTGTTTTGCAAATATAGAAAAATAGAAATATAAAAATATAGAAAAAATGCATACATATATATGGAAACAGTAAAATTGTATGTATTCATGCTTTTTTTCATTGCCTGGTGGACTCAAGCTTAAAAGCTCAGACTTAATATAAATTACCCTGATGCTTTTCTTTTTTTCTTTTATACGTATTAACAATATTAACAATATTTCGTAAAAGATCATTTAAAAGTTATTCTTCCTCACTCAACCATATATTTATGTTAACATTACTATCTGGTTGTTAACAGGCTCATTTCTGCCCCATAAGTTTCCTCCTGGTACTGTGCTTCTACAGACTCTGTGGTATGCAGCACTTTTCTATAATCTTTCATTTGTAATTTGAATTTTCTGTCTTGCTTGATGGACAGAGTCTCTAATCAGACTTCCATACAACATAGCCATGAAAGATTAGAAGCCTATTTCTTAACAGTAAGTGGAGAAAATGGGGATTTATATGTTGGGTTTTGTTTTTTTACTGATGGTGTATTATTTAATGTTGGGCTTTCAGAAGGAACTTTGTGGGATTTTTTGGATGGAAGGGTAACAGTTTCTTCAGGATTCACATTAAATATTGTTTTCTGGTTCTATTGTTATTACCTCTTAGTTTGTAATACAAATGCCGTCAAAACTGCAGAAAAAAGACACATTTAAGTCATTAAACCAATCCCGCTTTATCTTTTTTCTTTTTTTATTCCAGTTCTTTTTTGAGTAAAGTGATTTCCATGAGATAACACTATAAGCAGCATCACTTTCTTCCACAGTGCTACAACATTTATTTGCTGTACTTTAAAAAAGTCATGACAAGGAAACAATCACTGAACTCAAGAAGTGTTTCATAGGTGTTGGTTTTTTTCAAGCAGAGGCTGTGATTATGCTGCTAGCATAAGGCATTCACAGAGGAGATTTGTCATGTAGTGGAAAATAACTTTTTTTTGTTTTGTGTTAACACTGAGAATTGTACTGCAGTCATTGGCTGTGTTGTCTCTAGAGAGAAATGCTGGAGTTCATCTGTGCCTTGAGGGTACCACTTAAGCCTTGCTGAATAAACCAGCGGAATATGAACATGCAGGCGGAAAGATTGGTTTTCATCCTGATAACAACTGCAATAACTCAGAAAAACTGCCATAAGGCTGTAGTGGTATTTGGTAAAATGAACAATCATGAACTTTTAGTTTTAGGCATTATAGACCTCTAAAGAGTAAATTTAGCTGAAATGCAGACAGACATCACAGAGACATTTTCAAGTACATGTTTGATAACAAGTAGTTTCTGTGGGCATTGCATTTGTCAATTTCCAAGTCTATATGCCTAACGTTGACTAGAAAACTATTTTTAAAGTTTTGTAGAGTCTTTATCCAAGTAATGAGAAGATCCTCTAAAAGACTAGCTGAATGTTATGGTATATATTTGCATTCTTGTCCAGTATCTCCCTTGTTTTGTTTTTTGTTGTTGACATGCTTGTTTCTGAAGATAATCATTAAAACACAAAGTTTCCTAATTATTTCTTATTTCTGCCAAGTGTACTCCTTGTTCATAGGTGTGGTGGACTGGTCAGTGGTGTGTAGATGTGCTGAAAACTGGTATTTTATTCAGCCTGTAAAGAGCAACATTCCTGTGACATGGCAGCACCATATGTACTGCTCCTGTTTTATTTAGTTATAAGATAGGAGTTGGTCTAATAGCTGTAGATCTTCCTTTCTTGTTTCTTCAGACTCTAAAAGACTTTGAGCAACCATCTAACCATTTTAGATAATAACTGAGTTTGTGTGGACCACTTATAATGGCATTAACTGTTTGCATCAATCATGAAATACAAATTTTATTACAAGTTCTGTCCTCAGAATCTGTTACAGTACATGTAGTACTGGTATATAAAAAGTCATTCCTATATGTTACAGACTTTTTTTAGGAAAACACACTACTTAATACTGCTACCACCTTGATGTTGGAGAAAGCCCTTACTGAAAAAAAAGTAAATTACATAGACTCAGTTGCTTGCACTAAGGAAATTCTTGTGAATTTTCAGCTTACAAATGAAGAAGCAGATAATACTTACACCTCCGTTTTATGAAAAAAAAACAAACCCAGAGTTGTAAGCTAAATAAATGAATGAAGGGTACCAAATAATACTAGTTTTACCTTAGATAAAAATGAAGCTTATGGAAAGAGATCCTGGTGTTCTTCCTTGGAAGACAGATCTCTCTCCCTTTTTGCTGCTGAAAGTTTCCCGGGTATTTAGAGCCACGGGTGTTTTTCAGCTTCTGAAGGGAAAGTACCTTCGGAGACACAGCTGGCTCTCAGTCAAAGTGTGGCTAGACAGATCTTCAGGTACACTGCTGCTGAGGATTTGAGAAGGATTTGCCCCAAAAAACTAAACAACAATCAAATCTTGCATTTGAAAATGGTGAATGGCTTTAAGATGGAACAGATGAGATTAGGCATTTTTAAATAAATAAGGAAAGGTTTGGCATTCTCAGGCTTTCTTTTCCAGAGAAAAATCATGTCTGTGTTTTCTTGAAGTGCTTAGCAGCTGATATGAAAAATGCCTGATTTCTATAATTATTTATTAGGAAATTTCTCACCTCTTTACTAGTCAGTGTAAAGAGACCTCCCTCTTTTTGAGTCTATTGTGGTATGTGCCAAATGCTTGGAGCCTGTTGTGGCTCAGCTAAAAAAGCAGAGATTCGAAGTCTGTCCATATCCTCAACTGATTAATTTTGAAGAAGAGATGGCTGGCTTGAAGGGTTGTCTGTCCAGGGTAATCTTGTTCCTTCTGCAAAATTGTTAAAAATAGAAAATTTCCTCAACTTACATTAAGTTGACCTATAAGTTGACATAGATGAGGCAGCTATCTGGGATTCACTGTGTCATGGGTTATTTGACTTTGGAGCTGTTACACTTCATGAAAATGTCTACCATCAGTGTTTTTCCTTCCCAGTGCATCCTCACTGCACACACTGGGGTCAGGAGAACCAGCTCACTCTGTGGCTTTTGTGGTGGCAGGAGCCTTTGCCATCACCTAAATCTGCTTTAAGTTTTTTCCTCTTGACACTGAGGCCTGTGGTCACTCTGAGCAGTGGTCACTGTTTCAGGGGGCCTGCTGGACAGGCTCTGTGTGGAGAGCCCTGGGCTGCCTGTGGACAGCACAGCCAGGATGGCAATGCCTCAGGGAAAACACACCTGGAAAAGAGCAAAATGCCACAGGTCTGTGTGAGGAACACTCTGTGAGAGTGTGTGAGAAGCAGCTCCAACTCCAGGGTCAGGGGAACAGCAGTGGAAGGAGGGCTGCAGGTGCTGGAGCAGAAATTCCCTGGAAGCCTGTGGGACAGGCTGTGTTGAAGCAGGTATTTCCCTGCAGTCCTTAGATACCCTGTAGGTACCCAACCTGCAGCCGCTGGGGCACTCCTTACTGGGCAAAGTGAATATTCCTTGAGGGAGAGACACTTTCAAAGCCCACGTTGGAGCAACCTTATCCTGAAGCTTTACAGCCTGTGTGAGGGACACATGCTGGAGCAAGGGAAAAACAGGAGGAAGGAATGGCAAAGAAGAACTGCAATAACCAAGCCCCCATTCCACACCTCCCCTATTCCTATTGGAGTGAGTAGGTATAGGAGTTGAGAGTGAAACAGTGAAGTTGACCCTGGAACAAAGAGGCAAAGGGAAAGTTCTGTCAGGATTTATGTTTTTTACTTTCCAATTCTGTTTTAATTGGCAGCAAGTTATTTTTCCCTGAGTCTGTTTTGCCCATGACAGTAACTTGTAAATTATCTGCTTGTCTTTATTTTAATATGTGGGCTTTTTCACTTCATTTTCCTCTGTGCAGTTCCTTCTGTGGAGCATGAATAAGAGAGCAGCCAGCCAAGGTCAACTCACAATGTTGTGTTGACAAAGGCTACAGCACTTAATGACTGTCAGCAAGTGGGACTGGATTCGATCTTGTGTCTGTTCAAAAAAGTTGGTTTATTCTGAAGATACTGCACCATTAGGTGTTAACTGTACACTCACTGTGGAAAATATAATGTAGAAACAATAGATTAATGATTGTTGTAATTTAATTAATTAATTATTTTTAAGTATTTTGAAAATACCCTTGGTCTCAAAGAGAGTACTGTAATTTTGATTATGCTGTGCTGTTTGTATAAATCTTAAACACTTTATCTATCATATCTTCCTTAACTACAGAGGAAGTAGTTAAGGAAGCAAAGTTACAACTGGAAGTAGTTAACATCAGCAAAGTTACAACTGGAAATCAGGTAGATACAGATCAGGAAGCCTAGAATGGAAAAACTAAACTTCAGGCCAGTTGCCTTCTGCCTGTGAATATGGCTTTAAATATACAGTGCATTTTTGTAATACATAATAATGTATTATAAACAACAGTTTGGCAATCATAGTATAAGCCACCAGATGGAGTAATGTTGCCATCAGAAATTGAGAGTAATAAAAATAGCATGTTTTTTCTTTCTAGTTTTGTAATATAAATGCAAGGTTTTTAAGGTGGTGTGCCAAAAATGTATTAATCTGTGTGTTAGCAGTTGTGAGCATTGACTGCAGTATTTAGCTGTGATAAAACATTTTTTACATTTTTACAATAAGGTAGCTTAATGTTAGGCTAGGCAAAGTGAGAATGTTTTCCCCTTTTTTCTTGTGAGGTATTAACATGAGTTGACAAACTGTAAGAAAATTTGATCTCTTTTTTTCTTTCATTATTTTTTTCTTTATTTCTTAACTTCTATCTCTTTGCCATGTGTAGCTAAGTTTCTGTTAAATATCTGACTGTTAATTGAAATATTTCTTGCTACAGGGCTTTGCAAAGAGAAAAGAGGTAGATGCTGACTATGCCAAAAGCTTTTATTTGGGGATTTTGTTGGTGGTGCAACCTTCTATTTCTTCTTTTTTTCCTACATGTCCTTCTAGGGTCTTCTTGCACAAGAGCCTAAAAGCATTTAAAATTTGCAGAATGAAAAGATGGCACGAGCAATGCTGGTACCACCAGGACCTGACAGCTTCTTCTACTTCACTGAAGAATCTCTTGCAGCTATTGAAAAACGTATTGCTGATGAAAAATTTCCTTGTGACCAAGATGAGCCTACAGATGATGCTGGTCATGAGGAAAATCACCCAAAGCCAAATAATGACTTAGAGGCAGGAAAGACACTGCCATTTATTTATGGTGATATTCCTCCAGAAATGGTATCTGAACCCCTGGAAGACCTGGACCCCTATTACATCAATAAAAAAGTAAGTGTTTTGTATTAAGAATGGAATTAGAGCACTCCTGTTTAACCTGATAAATGCTCTGCTGGGAAGCTGGTCAGAAGCACTGTTTGAAAGTATTATGCAGTAGGTTGCTATCATGTTAATTATTTTGATTTCACTGTAAAGACAACTATAACTCTTGTTTAAATTGCCTTTTTTTTTTTTTTTACAAAATAAAGGGGGCACTTTTCTTTTAATGTCTAACGTTATGGTATTTTAGTTAATGGATTTTGTATTTATTGTCTTGCAATCTCTTCAGATCTGATTTAATGCTGAGTCATTTGAAGACTTCCCATCTCATCTCTCTGTCTACTTATTGGGTTTTTTTAGGAAACATTTTTACCTGAGTTCTAGTTCATTACAGAAGTCTTTAGACAAAGTGCTCTTTCAGTCATATGACAGAACAATCACTGTCAAACATTCCTGAAAATATAATATAAATACTTGTTTTACAAAACTAAAAAAGGTGTGAAGACTAAACCAATCTTTGTGTTTCAGTATTGGGTCTGTGATATAGGCCCAATATAGACCTGAAGAAAAAATCTAAATTTATATATGCCGATTCAGTTTAATTTATAGATCTAATGATAAAAATGGAAGAAAAGAGCAAGGTGTTTACTTTGATGAAGGAAGGTTATTTTTATATAGGCATGTGAAGTGAAATTATGTCAAGAAAGAAAAAAACCTGAGTTTGCATTAAAAAGGCAGTACAAAAAAAGCAGCAAGTGGTTATTTTATTTTATTGTGTAATCAATAAAATGCTGGTTGAATTAAAAAGCATGGAATGAGTTCTTGAAATTAAGTACTGGATAATCAAGAAAATAATATCTTGCAAGATAAAAATTTAACCAAAGAGCTGTAGTATATCTGTAATAAGCAGCCTAATTAAAATAGTGGTTTTTTTCTAGCATAAAATGCCGAAGACCAATAAGCAGATGTAGATTTTTTAGTTATTTTAGTTTTTGTTCTCTTAATGTCACAAACACTATTGACAAATTACCTATTTCTTTTATAGTAAAATGTCATTGGAAAGCAGAAATATTCAGTGTTCTAACCTGCTTAGGTCCGGATATTAGATTTTGGAAGGATAATCATTGAATGTAGATTAAATTTAGATTTCATTAGATGATGTTTTCATTGTTACTCCTATTCAAAATCAAAAATGTTTACATTGATGGTACTGGTGACAGATGCATAAGCAGTAAATACAGTAAAGGCAATAATTTTAAAAGTCAAGGATGTCTCACCGTTAAAGCAGTTTTAACATGCTGAAATGGTTAAATAATTTATGAGGTCCCAAAAGTAATTACTTAGGTGCTTTGTTTTGCATTGCTAGGTTTTTTCTGAACTGCAAGTAAAAGAGCTGCATTAAATTTAAATGTAAAACGTCACATTTTTAATTACAGTTTTAAAATAATTACTTAATCCTAGAAAATGAAATCTGAAATGCAGATTTTAAGAGCACAGAGAAAAAGAATGTGTGGTGTAGCATTTTCATTGCTCATGTGAAAATTTAGAATCTGTTATTTCTTTCCATAATTCTGCTGAAAATAAATTTGTCTACTTAGATGTGTGTAAACAGCCTCTATTATGGTGAGGTTGCTAAAATGTATCCTTTATTCACAAACCCTGTAACCCCCATACCCTTTCTGTCTGTTTTTTAAAGACATTTATAGTACTGGATAAAGCGAAGACAATCCACAGGTTCAGTGCCACACCTGCCTTGTACCTTTTATCTCCTTTCAATATCACTAGAAGACTAGCTATTAAGATTTTGGTTCATTCATATCCTTTTCGAGTGGTTTGTTAAAAATTGTTACTGATTATTACTAATGTTAACACTAGGAGTTTTGATTTAGTGTTTGAATGTTCCTGTCTTTAATTCTTTCAAAATCAATCTGAGCTAAGATTAGTCACTTAAGCTGCTGATTAAATTCAGAAGTCTTTACTGGAGTTCCTGAAGGTGCAGTATTGAACCCAACCCTGTCTAAAATTTTTATGGATGATCTGGATGAAGGGATAAGATGAAACTTACCCGTGGTAAGTTTGTGGATATTGCCAAGTTTAGTCAGAGTGTTGGTCTGCTGGAGGGTAGGAAAGCCCTGCAGAGGGACCTGGACAGGCTGGATCGATGGGCCAGACCAAGAGCCTGAGGTTCAACTTGACCAAGTGCTGGTCACATTGGTGCATTGGCCACAACAGCCCCATGCAGTGCTACAGGCTGGGAGCAGAGTGGCTGGGAAGTGACCCAGTGGGAAAGGACCTGGCAGTGCTGATTGACAGCAGCTGAACTCGAGCCATCGTGTACTTGGGTGGCCAAGAAGGCCAGTGGCATCCCATCCTGTATGAGGAACAGTGTGGCCATCAGGGCCAGAACAATGACTGTCCCCTGTACTCAGCACTGGTGAGATCACATCTCGGGTTCTGGGTGCCTCAGTTCAGGAGGGACTTTGAGGTTCTGGAATGTGTCCAGTCAGGGGCAGCAAAGTTGGTGAAGGGTTTAGAAAGTGAGTCCTGTAGGGAGCAGCTGAGGCAGCTGGGGGTGTTTAGCCTGGAGGAGGCTCAGAGTGACCTCATTACTCTCCACAACCTGCTGGAAGGAGGGTGTAGCCAGGTTGGGGCAGCTTCTTCTCCCAGGTAACCAGTGACAGGACAAGAAAAAATAGCCTCAAGCTGCACCAATGCAAGTCCAGGTTGGCAATCAGGAGGAATTCCTTCACAAAAAAGGTTGTCAAGCACTGGAATGGACTACCCAGGGAAGTGGTAGAGTCAATATCCCCGGAGGTGTTCAGGCAATGACTGGATGTGGCACATAGTGTCATGGTCTAGTCGACAAGTGAAGAGTCAAAAGTTGGACTTGGTGACTTCAGTGGTCTTTTCCAATTTAAATGATTCTGTGATAGATGTATAACCAGCATTCTTGTGAAATATCTTTGCATTATTTGTGACATTGCTAGTGATAGTAAATTGATTTGTATGGTATATGTTGGCAGTATTCTGTGTCCTGGTCAAGTCCTCATATTTTGTGTTATGCAAATTTGGCTTTTAAAAGGGGTATATTCCTTAACTATGGTCAACATTGTTCAGCAAGATCATTATGCTCACTATTCTGGCAAATTGTGTATTGATGACATGGAAGAAACTTCCAGACTGGGCAAAGAAAGTAGAGTAAGTATACTTAAATAAGCTAACAATTTTTAAGGTGCTTTAAAAATGAAAAACAAATGGAGAGCTAGACCATGCAGCTTTACTTATGTGTGCAATACCAGTATTTTCCTTTTTCCTACCTGGAGTTTGATCCTAGCTGCAACCCAAAGCAGCACAGTCCTGCAAGCTCTGCAAAGGAGAGAAGCTGTGACATTGTTAATCTTTTTCTCTGAACAAAACGCTGATAATTACTTTCCCTCAGAATGTTCATACAAGCAACGTTTTCATTCTCGCTCTTCAGCTGTTCTTTATCATTAAAAAAAATTGTCATTCAACATAAAACTACTGGCTTTTCAGTGTGGAAGATGCTTTCTATAGCCCCTCTGAAACACCTTCATTTTGTGCAGCAAAATCCAATTATGGGACACACACACTCTTTAAAGAAAATACCTTTGCTGAGGATTATTGTTTATCATTCTTAAGTCTACATGGTCAGCCATCAAGTACCTTTAGTAAATATTAGATTTCACTTACCCATGGACTTTATCTCTGATGTGGCAACCATGCTCAAATGTTATTCGAATGAAAATATTTTTTTGTGTTGTACATGATTATTATTATTAGTGCTGAAATTAAAAAATCTTATGTGCTAGAAACTGCAAAAATATTTTTCAGACAAAATAAAATGTATAATCTTATTACCTCACGAAAAAATGGTGGGGAAACAGTCATGCTTTATATGAGTTTATAACATAATTAGTGTATGCTGTTCAATGCATATACTAATTACTGGGTTTATTTTCCTGTATGCTCATGATTTATCACTGAGTAGCACAGCAATCTGTAACTTTTGCTGTGTTTCCTTATAGATACACTTTCACTGGAATTTATACTTTTGAATTTCTAGTAAAAGTCTTTGCAAGAGGCTTCTGTATAAACGATTTTACTTGCCTTCGTGACCCTTGGAACTGGCTTGATTTTGTTGTCATTTCCTTTGCGTAAGTATATAATATTTTTTTTAAGTAAAATAACAGGAATTTTTTTGAACCTCTGATAGTTTGTTTGGCTTATATTAGTTCATATGAAATTGCAGCTGAATTGTATTTCAAGTTTTTCCACTTGAATATTTTATACTAGTGTAACGCATAGCAGAATTAGTGGACTATTCCGCAGTACAGAAGGTAACACTCAACAATTAGTTTAAAATAGGATTTTAAAATCGAAAGCAGGTCTATAGGTTTCATTTTAAATTTGCAGTTAATGGAAAATCTTAAGGGTGAATTTCTTAGGGCAAGCTTAATTGAAACAGAATGCAAGTCTTTCATTTAAACTTCTTCCTCGAAAAATGAAACAGGATTTCAGGTCCAGGTAAGTAGTAAAAGCTCTGCCTCAATTCTGAATAACTGTGATTTAATCCTACAGGTATATAACAGAATTTGTAAACCTAGGCAATCTTTCAGCTCTTCGAACTTTCAGAGTATTGAGAGCTTTGAAAACTATTTCTGTAATTCCAGGTAAGAAGTAACTGTGTAAAATAGTAGACACTCTACATCACCTCTGTTTAATTTTGTGTGTGCTGTCATTGTGTTTGTGTGTGGAATCCCTCACTACAGATATGTGACAGAGTTTGTGGACCTGGGCAATGTCTCAGCGTTGAGAACATTCAGAGTTCTCCGAGTTTTGAAAACAGTATCAGTCATTCCAGGTGAGAGCGAGGTTAAACACTGAGGCTGACTGAAACTGCAAAGAAGCTGAACTTATGTTTTTAACAGAAACATCCAGGTTTTTGTCTTAATTTCAATTTAATTTCCTTTTCTAATTCTCTAAAACAGTCAGCCTCAGAGTTTAAGAGTCAGTTGCATGAAGAACTCATTTACATAGCCTGTATATTCTTCTATTTAATGATGTCAAATTTTCTTTCCCATATTAAGGATAAAAATTACGGCTTTTTAATGTGAATGTTACATATCCATATTTGTGAAATAAATGTGGGATTGAAAATTTTAGTGTTTTGTGAAAGCTGAATCCCTGACAGAGGAATAAGATAATAATGAGTAGCATGGGACTGCATGGTGTAGTTATTAGCTTATGATGCCTATCTTCACCAAACCCCACTTCCAGCAAAAGACAATGCATTAGAATGCAGACATTAAAATTACTACTGAAATAAAATTGTGGTCTCTTTTTGTTTGCTGTTATAGAAGCAATTGCTGTGTATTGGGATAGAATACTGGTAAAGGTTTGGAGCAAGAGGCATCAAAAAGAAAATAAAATTAACTATTTTCTTTAGATGTAGTGTACATGTATAGAGAGCATGAATTGAAAACTCTTGATGTGAAGAGCAGGTGCTTTGGAATGTATGCTATTCATTCCCATTCATATTTTCAAATTATTTTTCAGGGTTGAAACTTATTGGTAGCTTTTCCTTTGGAAAATGCTTTAAGACTTCTTTTGAAGCTTGCATGGTATTTAATAGTGTGTTGGAGATGCTTATATTGTATTTTAGCTTAGCTAAATATTTCTATAATAAATATAATATCATAATAAATATTATAATAAATAATATTTATTATACGATAATTATACATCTAATATTTTATATTATAATAAAATTATAATTTTATAATTATAAATGTATAATAAAAATCTGCCTCTGTTTGCAGGCTTGAAGACTATTGTTGGAGCCTTAATTCAGTCTGTGAAGAAGCTCTCGGATGTGATGATCCTGACTGTATTTTGCCTGAGTGTATTTGCACTGATAGGACTTCAGCTGTTCATGGGCAACTTGAAGAATAAATGCCTGTTCTGGCCAAAAAAAAATTCAACAGCTTTTGAGGAACATGTAGTTCCATACTTTAATGGTTCAGAATTTGACTGGGCAGCATACATTAACGAAGAAAGTAAGAAATACTGTTGTAATTTGCTAACATTTTTTATGTTGTATGTAAACCATCACACAATCACAAGATAGCTGTTTTATACTTCAGAATAAAGATAAAAACCAATTAAATTGGACGGCAAAGAACAGGAATTTGTGTATGTTACATCCCAAGCTCATGCTGACGTGACTGCTCTTTCCATTGACTGCACTTAGAAATGTATGTAGAGGCCTAGGTTAGTTTTAGAATCACAGAATCATGCAGGTTGGACAGGATCTCCCCATTCCAGACCAACTGCTGCTCAGCTGCTGGTTCAGTTGGAGCAGATTGCTCAATCCCTTATTCCAGTCAAGTTCTTAGTACCTCTAAGGATTGAGATGCCACAGCGTCTTCTGGGCAGCGTGTGCTAGCATTTGACCAGTCCCACAGAAACTTTTCTGAAGGCTACCACCTTATAATTAAAGGTACAATTCTGTAAAGTTGTTTATAATACAGCAGCTGTTAGAACACTGTAATTGGAACACCTGTCTTCTTTTTAAATGCTGCCTTCATGTTTTCCCAGGATGTGAAATAGTTACAGGATGTGCTAGTTAATGCTGCTCTGACTTCAAAACTGCCAGAAAGCCATTATACATGTTCCATTTTAAAGGAGATAGGCTTTGTCTGATTACATTCTACTTGCTGAATAAGAGGAGTTTTAAGTTTTGTATTTTCTTTTACCTATTTTGAAAGGATATTCACTGTGCAGTGTTGCAAGAAAAGAATATACAATTTATGTTCTAATCATTGTTCTAGGATTTAATTTTTGCAATGTTTTTATTTTGTTGCCCAGAGGGGTTGTGGATGCCCCATCCCTGGAAGTGATCAAGGCCAGGTTGCTTGGGGCCCCAATCTATTAAGTGGCATTGCTTCCCATGGCAGGGGTTTTGGAAACAGATGATCTTTCAAGTCACTTCCAACCCAAGAAATACTGTGATTATGCCAGTATTTGAACCCACTGTTGGGAAAACAGAAATGAGAGATTATGAACATTCAAAATTGGATGACTTGAACATAGGTTCATCCCCACAAAAAAAATACAGACCCTCCTTTCATTCGTAAATGTTGCTTCTTTTTTTTTCTTTAGGTCATTTCTATCTCCCAAAAGGAGCAATTGATTTTCTGCTTTGTGGCAATAGCTCAGATGCAGGGTAAGGTACACTAAAAATGATATACTATGTGTCTAAACAAAATGTAAAAAATATCGATCTAAACTTTAAAGAGCTAATTTAGTTACCTAACGTCACAGTCAATAATAATATGGTCTTGGTTCCCAGTAGTTAGACACTTGAATGAATAAAAATGCTAAATGACAAAATACTTTGCTGGGAATTTGTTTTAAAAGCTCACATGTAACTAAAGAAGGTTAGACCTTGTGTTATCAATCATTTAAGAACATTCTTTATAATGGGTTCCCTGCCATTTCTCAACCCAAAAATAAGCATGGGGCACTGAGATTTGTGACCACATTTAGGGAAGACATCTTTAGGCTTCCTCTTTCTGGCAGCTGCATGCATGGCAGTGTGTTGCTCTCTCTCCATGGCAATTTTTTGTAACAAAATCACGTAATTCTGTATGCTTATGAATTATCAGTCCATCCCTTGGTTTTGGTAGGTAATAGCTTTAAAACCCACATACTTAAAATATCTTTGTAAATATTTAACTTATATATGTAACTATGAGATAATTCTGTGTATGTGTATAAATGCACATCAAATAGACATACATACATGGAAAGAAATCTATATAGTGTTTTTTGGAGAGGTTTTGGGGACAGGAGCCTCTTCTGTCTTAATTGAAACAGTGTGCTTATTATACTTGATATCAAGATTGCATCACCTACTCTCGAAACCAATATAAAAAATTTCACAAGATGAAAGTATCCCTGTGCTAATTATTTGGTTTTGACGAATTGGTAGAATTTCTTAGTTAGGCTCACAGATGTGAATAAGCCAAGAAATCTGGTATGCCAACCTCATTGACAGACATAGTTCAGCATAAAATATGTGTGCTAGCTGTCTTTTTCCTGCATGGAAGTATCCACCTATTGAAATCTCTGTGTTAAGTACATGTATTATTTTCATTGAAGAGATATCTGCACAGGTAATATCAAACTGTTCATAATAAACTTTATTTTGTTTAAAACTCTGAAAGGAGATAGAAGGAAATATTGTCATTACTAGTTTGCTTTCTCTGGATTATTTTTTAAAGAACAGACTTTCAATGTCATCACTAATTTTTGAATTGTTTTAAGCCACAAATAGCAGCACCCTCCACAGACAATGCTTCATAAGAAGCTCAAGAAACAATAATTAAAAAAAAAAAAAAAGTGTTATCTGAAATTTGTGTGTGGATTGTTTTGCCTCTTTTCCTTTTCTTTTTTCCCTCTCCTAGTAAATGCCCAGAAGAGTTCATCTGTGTGAAAGCTGGTAAAAACCCCAACTATGGATATACTAGCTTTGACACATTCAGTTGGGCTTTCTTGTCACTGTTTCGACTGATGACACAGGACTATTGGGAAAATCTTTATCAGTTGGTGAGTGCATTTTAAAAATTGTCATTAGTGTATTACTGGCTCCAAATCAATCATGGAAAGGCCATTCTTATTTATATTACATACTATTGGTATTGTTAGCCATTAAAATTTATCAAAGGAAGCAAATTCAGTTACAAAAGTAAGCAGACATGGACACTTAGTACAGAATCTCACATGATTTCTGAAGAGGCACATGAGAAGTTTTTTGATCCTTAATTTAATTTTTACAGTGTATATTTCATTTTGTGCCTCATGATATTTGCAAAAATACCAATATTGAGTTCAAATTGTAAAAAGACTTCATGACAGTGAAACCTGAACCTTAATTTCAGTACTCTTAATCCCATTTTTTATAACTCAGATTGCATAACTTGATATAAATTAACTTTCTTACAGTAGCTTTTCATTGTATGGTGTGTGTGTGAATGTGTTAATTATAATAAATACTATCTTCTAACTATCTAAGCAGTTGTGCCATTTTTAATTTATCTGGTTATTTCAACGGGAGAGCATGCTAATACGCGGTAAGCATTCTAAGTCTCCAACCTGTGATATGTGACTTACATTAATAACTTTGATCCCACATACTTTTCAAGATTATTAGGCATTGAAGGAGGTTTGTGGCAAAGCAGCTTGATCCTTAGGCATGTTTTTCACATACAAGAATGCCCTCTTTATTTTGATTACGTTGTAATTCAGAAAACTTGTATGATTTTACTACAGAAGGAAAACCAACTAAATATTAGTTTTGCACTTTTCAAAGTCATTAATGCTAATGAACTGATGCATTTCTTCAGCAGCTGGTTGATTTCTCTTCTCCTTCTATAGACACTACGAGCTGTTGGCAAATCATACATGATCTTTTTTGTTGTGGTGATTTTTCTGGGATCCTTCTATTTGATTAACTTGATTTTGGCTGTGGTTGCCATGGCCTATGAAGAACAAAACCAGGCAACTATTGTTGAAGCAGAGCAGAGGGAGGCAGACTTTAAGCTGAAGCTTGAACAACTGCAGAAGCAGCAAGAAGAAGCTCAGGTATTTTCTAGCAGGAGTCTGGGCCTTAGTGTGTTCCTTTGCATGCTATTTGTTAGAACCAATAATTACATTCACATACTAAAAAAAAATCCATTCTTTACCGTACCTCTCAAATACTTTAGACTGCTTTTTGTATGCCTCTTTATTGCTTTTTAAATGTATAATGTCTAAAGTGTTAATGTATTTCTGAACAGAGAAAAAAGAGCAGTCTACAAATCAGAATAATAATTTTAAATAAATCTCTCTTATCTTGGATAGTATCTAGTAAACTGTCATGATGATTTTCCAAATTTTCATCATATAAATAATTTCAATACTTTCAAGCTCTGATTAGAGTGCAGAATATTTTAATCTTTAAATTTCTGATTAATTTTTGTTACTTGTGCAGCTACCAGTGAATCAAAGACTAGGAGCAGCTTAAGGAAGCTACTTAAAATAAAAATTAGGATTAGTTTACTAAATTAATACAGACTGAAGTGTGACTCTGTTTAGCTCTTTTGTTTGCTATTGCATTCACTCTAATTAACGAATTATTAATGATAGAATATTTCCTAAATAACTTTGTGGCTGTAGACATTGTGGGCTGACTCCATGATAGGGATGCAAAATAGAACTCCATTTGAATTCTATTCATGCTACAGAATTTCATTTGTAGTTTTGCACAAATCCAACCACTTTGTTTACTAGAAGTAATTTGATAGAAATCTTAGGAACAAGGGCTGTATCCTTCTTTAAAAATGGTGTGATTTATAAAATATCTTGTTAAATAATTACTGTGGCAGGCAATAGCAGTGGCTGTAGCAGAGATGACAGAGTACAGCTGTGAAAGTGGGAATGCTGCACCCTCAGATAGTTCTTCAGATACATCCAAGCTTAGTTCAAAAAGTGCCAAAGAAAGGAGAAATAGAAGGAAGAAGAGAAGGCAGAGAGAGCTCTCTGGAGAAGAGGATGACATGAAGAATGAAAAGCTTCCAAAATCTGAATCAGATGGCAGTATCAAAAGGACAGGTTTCCGTTTATCTTTTGATGGAAACAGACTAACTTATGGGAAGCCGTTTACATCGCCCCACCAGGTACTGTGACTAATGAAATTGTCATTTTTGGAATTTCTGGGATTACTGTTAGAGCAAACAAACTTCACTGCAACTTCGCGATGTAAGGCAACAAAAGGAAAGGAAAAATAATGTAGCATTCTCTTAAATACCAACTTACTGTTGGTATTGTTTTCTAGAGTGTACCTTAAAAATGTGTTTTGTTTTCTGTCATTTTATTATTTAGGATTTTAACATCCACAGCAGCATTGCATTTTCCTAGTTAATCTGAAATAGAAATGCCTTAATTCATAAATGGAAAACTTAAGTATAATGTATGAATTTAGAAGACTAAAGGTATTGATATATTTTAATGTGATGCATGATCTGTGTGGATCATTGAAGTTTATGGAAGTCTTGTTTTTTCTCTTCAAAACAAAGATTAAAATGACTATGGCCTTATACATGTATATTTTTTTTTCTCTCAGTTATAGTTTTAAGTACACTGCAAATTTACCCATTCAGTTGACTTTCATCTGTAATGCATCACTGAGATCAGCCTGAGGCAGTTTATTAAAGATAACACTGAAAAATTCCTGGGCAATAAAAATTACTGTTGTTTTTCTTATATATAGACTTGCATTTTGTATAGGTATAATCTTCAGATTGTACTTTTTTTATGTTTCCTTTGCAGTCTTTGCTGAGTGTTCATGGCACCCTGTTTTCTCCCAGACCTAGCAGCAGAACAAGTATTTTCAGTTTTAGAGACTATGGAAGAGAGCGAGGATCTGAAAATGACTTTGCTGACGACGAGCACAGCACGTTTGAGGATAATTCGAGCAGAAGGGGTTCCCTGTTTGTGCCGCGCAGGCACGGCGAGCGGCGCAGTAGTAACATTAGCCAGACCAGTAGGTCATCAAGGAGGCTCACAGTCCTCCCAGTGAATGGGAAGATGCACAGCACCGTGGATTGCAATGGGGTGGTTTCCTTGGTGGATGGACCACCAGGTCTGTCGTCTCCTACTGGACAACTTCTGCCAGAGGTGATAATAGATAAAGCAGCAGCTGATGGGAATGTAAGGAAGTAGTAAATTACTCCAGGTTTCATGGCCTTTCTTAATTGCATAGACAATGTTTCAATGAAATTTTTGCTTTGAAAATGGATGGGGAGTTGTGAATGCTTTTGCAGATCTTACTGTAATGAAATGGGTTTGAAGTGATTCAGTCAAAAGTGAGATGCTGAAGCATGAAATAGAACAAAGTAGTAAATTTTATATACCTGCAAAGCAAGGATATGCATACATCTGCTTAATGAATCAGATTAGTAATGTTCCATTGCTAAATCTGTTTTAGAGTCCAGAATAGGATGTTCAGCGTTAAGCTTCCTGTACATTATTATATTATTTTTTTTTCTCTTTATGGTTTTAACCTCCTTTTAAGTGTATTTTCCGATTATCTGTCAGTAATAATGGTGGTTCTGCTTTTCTCCCTTCTTCATACATTTGACACTGTGGAAATGTAGCATAGTCTTTCAAGATTATGTTGTCATTTTAAAAATTCTGAAAGAATTTTTTTCCTCCTGGGTTTCAAAGACTATCTGAGTTGCTCACTGCCTAGGATCAGGGTATAATTCAACAAAAAAAAAAAAGCCCCAAACAAACAAAACATTTTAATTCTGCTCTGTTTTTCCTTTTCCCACAGTCTGCTTTAGGAATGGACAGACACATCTGCATGTTTTTTCCTAAAAATGTTATTTTACTGAAACAGAAATTTCTATATGGGTTACAGTATCTGAAAGTACATCGTCCAGCTTCCTTGCAGTTATCAGCCAGCTGCCTTGCAGTTATAGTCTTCTTGCATTTTTTTATACTCTTATTTTCATGTACTGAAAAAAAAATCTATCATTATGCATTCAAAACTACTTCATAACAGAGGAGCTCAATACCATAGTTATAACACAGCTTTCGTTTTAAAAAATAAAATCATGTAAAACAAGTATTCATTTTTGGGATCAATTCAGTCAGACCTATGCTGTTTCTTCAGTTGAAATTCATAAAATAAATCAGAGTTAGTAGCAATTAAGTTTTGAAAATATAATTTAAATAAGTTTTGGGTATAGAGATCGAAAATCATCTTTAAAATTTACTTTTATGGAATAGTGTTGGTGCAGAATCTTCCTACCACTAATCACTTTTTAGAGGTACCTTGTGAATGAAGTAGTTTAGAATGGAAATATTGATAGAGAAAGTATGGAACTGGGAACTGGGAAATTTTTTTTACACAAGTTCTGCAGGTCTTGCTTTCTTTTCTTGGCTGTAGTCCCCTCCAAAATTTCTTGGTATCTAAAGTGGAATAATGTTATTTGAGTATAATGCAGTGGAAATATGGGAATAAGTATCCAAATGTTTTGTTAATGTTTTATAAGTATGAATAGAATTAGGAAGTATATAATGAAAATTCTAATTTAAAAAGCATCATGGTATTTCTAAAGTTGAATTTAATTTACAAAACTTTTTTTTTTCTTTTTTTTTTTCTTTTTTTCTTTATAGAGCACTACCACAGAAATAGAAATAAAAAACAGACGTACCAGTTCATATCAAATACCAGTGGAGTTGCTGGAGGATCCCGATTTAAGGGAAAGGGCCATGAGTCTAGCAGATGTTATCACAAATAGAATGGAAGGTGTGTTATCACTAGACACTTGAACTTTCTTGACATAGACTTGCTTGAAGGTATTATATCACAATGCAAATACAGAAGAGAAAAAATATGTAGCCATTGCAAATACATAAACTGAATAACAGGAAAAAAATGCATGTACATAGTGAAAAAAGAAAGGAAGGAATCTAATAAGCAGGCTGATGTAAAAAAACTCGTTCTAGTTATTCTAATGTAATGTGTATGTGGTTTATGCTAGTTATTCATGCTTAGCAATGCAGTTATTGGAAGAAATGCCTTGTGATACATTTTCCACTAACTATATCATAAAAATATTAGAGACAATTAAAGGCTTTAGTTAATAGGAGAAGAAAATTTGTGCTAGGATTCCTTGGAACACTGGAATGACTACTAATGAAATTCATGAAAAAAGTTTAAATAATTTTCAAAACCCTATTCATGCTAGAATTGATGCCATTTTTATCTGAAAATAAGTACTTTGACATTTAAGAGGACTTTGGAGTAAAGTTTTATTGAAAAAAGATCAGGTTCTTGGTTCTACCAAGTGTCCTTAGTGGTTCCAGGTATAAAGATTAAAACCTGGAAAAGCAGATAAAAATTACCTTCCCTTTCTCCAAAACTTGTTGACTATAAATTTCTCTTTTTCTCCAGAACTTCAAGGATCCAGACAAAAATGTCCACCTTGTTGGGATAAGTTTGCCCACACTTTCTTAATTTGGGAGTGCTGCAAGCCCTGGTTAAAAATAAAGAGTGCAGTTGAATTTATTGTAATGGATCCACTAGTTGATCTGGCTGTCACTGTTTGCATAGTTATTAACACACTATTTATGGCCATGGAACATTATCCAATGACTGACCATTTTTACACTGTACTTACAGTAGGAAATCTGGTAAGTCCTTCAATCTATAGAATTTTATACAGTTGGAACCTGGTTTCTCTTTGGAATAAAATTGTTTTTATGATTTTTATTGTCATCCCATAAAATGAATGTTAAAGGTTTAATTGAACTAAAAATAGTCTAAAAATACCTTTTGGAATATGCTGTGTATAAGTATATTTGAGAGATGTTCTGTCTTACAGTTTGATTTCTGTATTACCACTTTTTCAATAGAGTTTCCAAAAGCCAGAGTTTGAATTACATGAAACTGGAAGAAATCTGACATGCTTTTGTTAATTATTACGAAAATAAGTAGGAGCCAAATTAGATCCTTTTTAGCATAAGCTACATTGTTAACACAAAAAGAGCTGAATGCTATTTTTGATTATTATTTTTCACTGCTATTTCTGTGTGTTGATTTTGTATTTCCTTGAAAACCACTTATTTGATTGGACCATAACAATGGGAAACAATGTGCGACTTATTCTGAGTATCTGTTGATACAGCTGTATTTTTCTCCTCAGTGGATACAGTCTGTGGGTCAGGTGTGGTGAGGTAGCTTTGTTTGGTTTATAACACCAATAATAGAGATATATTATACTTCTTAACCTATGCTTATTCTAAGTGGTTATTCTGGTGATTAGGACGTAGAAAAATAACAAAACATTTTAGTTATTGGGATATGTGAAATTCTTATATATATTAGTCATATGCCACTGTGACACTGGTATAGCTTCAGCAAGTGCTTTCTTCCTTTCTGGACTCTGTAGCTCTACATTTTAAAGACTATAAAATGCTCCAGATTTTTCTTCAGCTTTTTTTTCATCTTCCTCATAAAAGAGAGTAATTGATGTAGTTTTATAGATACTGGCGATCATACATCTACAGCAAATACAATGAATTTCAGAGGTGTTGTTCGTCTTCTGCTTCAGAAGTTATCAGAGGCATTCAGTCGGAAAGGAGTTTTATTTCAAACACAGACCTTGGCACAATTGACTTCTTTTGGCAGTTAGAGAAGATAAGCTTACTTGTGAGCTCTCATATAGGCTTCATTACTCAATAGTACATCACTCCAATTTATGACCAATTCATGTTTTCCCACACACCTTTCTTAAAGCAGCTTCCATTCTGACAACAGTGGATGTATTATCTTGCTGGGGAAAGTTCCTTTAACTAGATGGATGGCAGATGTAAGGATCGAACTGGAGGCCTGTTAGGAACAGCTTATTCTTCAGTAGACACTAAATGTATCTTAGCTTTTACTGATGCCACATGTATGCTACAGCTCATTTTAATGTTGCCACTTACCTTCTCTGGGGGGTTCAGCTTGTGATAATTTTACTTAGTGACATCCTGCTGTAAGAGGGATGTTACTTCTTACTTCAGTTGTTCCTTATCTGCTGGTTCACCTTCTTCATATTCATCCATAAAGTAACAATAATATTTTTCTCTTCAGGTTTTTACTGGAATTTTTGCAGCAGAAATGGTTCTCAAGATAATTGCCATGCATCCTTATAATTATTTCCAAGTTGGCTGGAATATTTTTGATAGTTTTATAGTTATTCTTAGTTTGGTGGAGCTTTTTTTGTCAAATGTGGATGGATTATCCGTTCTCCGATCATTCAGATTGGTAAATAATATGTCTGCATTAATTAATGAATGATGTTTGTATTTCAACTCTATTCATATAAATAAGACACCTTTTATCATTAGGTATACTTTTTAGTAAGTGACACAGGATATCTCTGCAGGCATGTTTTAAAAATTATTTATCATTAAATACCACATGCCATTTTATTGTTCAGAAGCAAATATTCTTTCAAGAGAAAGAGCTGTAATTTTATTGTAATTGTTTAAACATAAATGGATAAAGCTCAGTGAAATGTACAATTTTTTTAGTGTATATTGAGAAGCAGAAAACTTGTAGTCTTGTTGATTTTCATATCTGGAAATAGCAAGAAAGCTAGAGGTATTCTTTTTAAATGTAGGAATCATAAAATTAATGGGTTTAATAAATTTTAAGAAGATTGATTTTTCTTTTTCCCTTAGCAAAAAAAAAGGATCTTTATTTTATTAAAAAAATACTCTTATTTTAATTTGTTTCTATATGAATGTCCAAGGTGTATAACATGTTCAGAATCCCCTGTCTGAACAAATACAAACAGTGTTCTGTTTCTTTCATGTGGAAAAGAATAATGTGCTAAAAAAATTCAAAAACAAACAAACAGGAAAAAAATAACTAAGTCTAAAATTTACTATGTTTTAAAAGTGTGGATTTCATGAAACACTATGAAATTTATAGTTGCTGGAATCACGTTAAAGTTTCTTCCTTTTGCTGTTGCTGAGTGTCAGTCGTTTGTATTATGCTGTCCTCTCTATAGCACTTTTGTAATTACAGCAAGTAATGCCTGTATATTTTTTTTCCAGCTTCGAGTCTTCAAGCTGGCAAAATCTTGGCCAACCCTAAATATGCTGATTAAGATTATTGGCAACTCAGTGGGGGCTCTGGGGAATCTGACCCTGGTGCTGGCCATCATTGTGTTCATTTTCGCTGTGGTTGGGATGCAGCTGTTTGGGAAAAGCTACAAGGAATGCGTCTGCAAGATCTCCAGCGACTGTGAACTTCCTCGCTGGCACATGCATGACTTTTTCCACTCTTTCCTGATTGTATTCCGAGTGCTGTGTGGAGAATGGATAGAAACAATGTGGGACTGCATGGAGGTTGCTGGCCAAACCATGTGCCTTATTGTCTTCATGATGGTCATGGTGATTGGAAACCTAGTGGTATGTAGCCAAAATAATTTTACAATTAATTTAGAATATAAAAGGTAAGAGAACCAGTAATTAATTTTAAAAGTATCATTAAATGTAATTTTTAAATATGATTTTTATTGTTTTGGATTTGTTATGAGTATGGGTTTTGAAATGGACTTTTCTGTTTGTTAGATTTCTGATCTCGTCTAGAGTCCTCAGCTTGGAGGCTGACCCCTCTCAGGGTCTGGAGTGCAGTTCAGAGGATGTGGCTGAGAGCACGCAGTACTGGGTGTTCAGGGTATTGTGGACTACTCCTGGTTTTCTCTTAGAGAGGGAGAGAAGAGCAAAGGCACCTGCAGCATTAGACTTCCAGGATAGAAGTTTCCTATTTGCAGAAGAGGATATAGCAGGACCTTTTCTCTCTAACCAATTTAGTCATTGCTTCCAGTCACACATAGGCAGGTTATTGGGCCTTTCTTTTAAACGTTTTCTGATCTCTTCTGTCTATATGACTGCTACTGCATTCTTAAGACTCTGAAATGTATGCCATTTTGAGACCTGTTTGCTGCATAGCCAGCATTTTACACAAATGGAGTGAGGAAACTTGAATTAGAAGGAAGTTGTTATGCAGAAAAAAAATCCGGATACATTTACTTCAGGGTTTTTTTTACTTTTTCACTTTTTTGCTTCCAATTCCATAAGTGCTTTCTACAGATCTTCATGGCCTGTATTATATCTGTTTTTTTCTTTTTCAGAGGAAAGCATCAGATTGACACTAGCTTGTATGAGTATGCATTTCTCTTTATAAATGTTTTGTATTTTTTAACTCACCAGTATTTAAGACATTAATTGCTCTGCCTATTGCTCTGCTTTTCTCATTTTCTCTGTTATTCTACATCTCTGCTTTAAACAACTGTTAGTAGCAGAAGAGATTTTAAATTAGCCATCCTGGAAACATTCTTTAGGAATAAAATTTCTGAGAGGATAATAAGGTAAGAGTCTTTAAACCAAGCTAGCACTGCTTCTAGTTGCACAGCCACTTGCTTCAGGATTTTCTATGAATCTACTGTCTTACAGTGAAGAGAACTGTGAAGTTGTTTGGTTGAACTCCATAAGTAGTTTTCTAAACCAGAAGATTGAACTTTGTGGAATGAAGTAGCCACCTATATGAATATTTCCACAGTGTTTACTATATTCTGATTTTATTCCATAGCGCTAGGAAAACTTACATGAGCAGACATCCCTGCTGTATGTTCAGGGCTGTTTTATCCATTTGTCTTTTTGTGTTCCCAACACGTCTTACCTTCCAAGCTGATGGAAGAGCTAATTTGGAGATTTTAAGAGCTGGTACTCTGCTGCTTTGGTATTTGAGTTCGTGGTAACCTCTGGGCTTTTATAACTGATATACGTTCTATGTTTTGTCTTGCTGTGGGAAAAGGATGACTTGGGGGTTAAAAGACAGGGTGCATTCCTTATTTTTTAAGTCATATACAAAAAAAAAATTCATGTGGGTTTGGACCAGCACATAGAAAATTTGTTTTCTGCACAGAGTGCTGCATTTTGCCAGAAAAAATAAACATGTTAAATCTGTTCAGACAGTACTGAAGAATCATTAATTTTTGACCTTCTACAAATAATAAGCATTGTAAGGCCACAAAATCCCCTCTGTTGAAGTATAGGGAAGGTATTGTGCTTAAATTGCATTTGTGTTTCATTTTCTGTGTGCTTTCAGAATCATATCCTGTAAATAAAAACACAAAGCCTGTGTTCATAATGGGTTCATAAGAAGCATGTGAATGAAAAATGAAAGAAAATCAGCTCTGTTCTCTTTGTTTTTGTTTGTTTTTTTTTAATTAGGTATTGAATCTTTTTCTGGCCTTGCTGCTGAGTTCATTTAGTTCAGACAACCTTACTGCTACAGAAGATGATAATGAAATGAACAACTTGCAGATTGCTGTTGCAAGAATTCAGAAGGGAATAGATTATGTGAAGAAGAGAGCAGGTGAATGTGTCCGAAAGTCTTGTTTTGGAAAACAAGCTGCTGTAAATCAAAGAACAGCAACAGATCAGTTGAATGATGAAAGAAACCTTTGCATTTCCAACTGTACTGTCACTGAACTAAGGATTGATACGAATTATGGCAAAAATGAAAATGGAATGGCCACTGTTACAGGTGGCAGTGATTATACATCATTCATAAACAACCCAAGCCTTACTGTCACAGTACCAATAGCTGTTGGAGAGTCTGATTTTGAACATCTGAATACAGAAGAGTTTAGCAGTGACTCAGATTTGGATGAAAGCAAGGAGGTAAAATTTAAATATTTTATATTTTGGATGAATGAATTATACCAACCGTGTTGTTTCATAGCATAATTCTCCCAGCTTAGAAATGCAAAGCAATTGTAACTCAAGATTCTTGAATTGTACAGAGAATGAATAATCTGAATTGGGAAAGTGGAGTTGAAGAGAGTAGGAAATACTGGAAGAACTGTATAAATTTATGTGAACCCATTTATAAAGATGTTTGAAAAGCAAACTTTACCAAATTATTAGTTGAATAGAGAAGTTACTATATATGTACAGAATAAACAGTGTCAAAAGATTGTTTTTTCTAATAATTGTAATGTTTCTGTGAACTACAAATATAATTAAACTGCTATTTAAAAATATTAGAGAAGATATTAATAAAGAATATTACTACTCTTTAAGGAAAATCAGCATTACTTTTACTGGAGAAACTTAAAAGAGGTGCTGACTCAGGCTAATGAAAGAGTAATAACTTTTTTCATGTTCTGAAATCAGAATGATGAGAGAAAGCTAAGGGAACAATGTTTGTATTATAAGGTAAATGTATCAACAAAAAGCTCAAGAAAAAAATAGAACTACTGAAAGAAAAATACTAATTTCTTACTTGTTTTTGGGAGCTTTAAACCAGTCGCTTCTAAGACAACTACCTTATTTTAAACTGGATCAGCTCTAGGACTGTAGTCATTTGTCAGATGCTTCAGTCTGAGGGGAAAAGCAAAACCATGGATTTCAGAAGGATTTTGAAAGACGCTAAAATTCAGATTTCAATCTGTGGCTCGAGCAGACTGTGTGTGGTATCACCCACTCTGGCACCTGAAGACACGAGGACATAAACAGAATATCGTCGCTTGTGCACACAGCAGTTTTCCAGTCTGGATTGCTTTGTCTGGTTGATTTTGGTTTTCAGGGTTCTTTTTGTGTGTGGTTGGTTTTTGGGCATTCAGTTGATGAGTTAGAGACATTTTTGACTGGTTTTGAGCTTTTTAGGTTTCCATGTGTTTTGTTTTGAACTGGCCATTAATTTGCCAGTATTACTTCCAAATTTTAGAAAATAGGTTTGTTCCAGTGAAGTGTAGTGAAATTAAATTTAGAAAGGTATAATAAGGTACTCTTTTGGTGTTTCCTTTATTGCAGAGTACAATGTCTAGTTGTATTACACTTATTTCAGTCGCTTGTTTCCTGTTCCTTGATTTGTTCCATCTACTTTTTGGAGATTGTGTTTCGGCAGATGTTACACTGACCACTCAGTTGAGAAGACCATAGATTATGAAGAGGCTTCTTTAAAGCAAAGCAAACAGTATTAGTAACCTGTTTAAAATATTAACTGCTCTATGTAATGAAGCTATAATGTTTGCTGAATAGCTACTGCAACTTTTACATATTAATCTTACTAAAGGATACTGGATTTCTTTTTAATAAATTTCTTCGTAATAAAAACTGGTTTTGTGGAAGGAATATTTAATGAATCCAGGTAACTTAACTTTCAATCTATCACCTTCCTGGAAATTAGCCTTCAGTTGAAGACACCTATTATTCAGCATTTTATATTTTAGAACTGAGTGACAAAATCTGTGCTTTCTTACCTCTGATGCTTAAGATGATACCTAAGCGCTAGCTGTGTATGACATACTGTTACCTGGTATCAATTTTGACTTGCTCAGATTTGGAAAACTGGCTGAAAATTGGCAAGCACAGGAGATACATAAACTAACAAAATTCCCCTGATTTCATGTACACTTACTCAGTAGGGAAATTGTCTTTCATTTTGTAGACTGGTTCTTCTCTTTCTTTCAGACTTCCCCTTTAGATGGAGCAGTTTATGTTGGAGTTGTTTCATAGCTACATTATTTGATGAATCCTTGACAAATCATTGCTAAGGGAGATCAGATTTGTACCAGAAGACAAATTGAGGAACTTATAGGTTTATTACTAAGTATGAGGTTTTGGTTTTTGATGCTGTATCTACTACAATCTATAATGCACCTTAAGCTATTTAATTTTTTTTTTTAGTCATTCAGTAAAATATTTAAAGATGCTGGGAAAAAATTCTTATGCAGGAGTTTTCGTGTTTAATATGGTATAATTTACTTTTTTTTGACTGCATTTCTTCTGAAAGAAAGGACCTAGATATATTTTATTTAGCATCTAGTGAAGACCAGGAATAACCCTGAGAATGAAATGCAAGGAGAAATATATTTGTTATTTTCAATGTCTAGTTAATGCCACTTAAAGGATACTTAAAGCTGAAATACACATACTGTGGATGTGTCTGTATATCTTTTTTGTTTGGGCCTTTTTTTTTTTTTTCTGGAGGAGGGTGAAGGAATTTTTGGTGGTGGTTTGGATTTTTTGTTTGTGGGGTGTTATTTATGTTCAGGCCCAAGTCCAGTATACATCTGTGAGATTCAAATGTTCTGCTGATCTTACCTCTTCCATTATATATATGGATATGCTTAAAGCTCTAACCCACACCTAAAATTACTATGTTTTGCAAATGTGTGACATATCTAGAAAACACATATTTTAAGTAAGAGTCCACACTTCTCTTTCCAGTACTCAAACAACCTCAAGGGTACCATATTTTAATTTCACTGCGTACCATTCTTCTCACAGGAGTAAAATCAAGCTGGATCAGTCAAGACTGGTGCTTTTAAACCAGGCAGAGCAACGTGCCAGCATGTTTACACAGGTTACCTAAACAAATCATACATTTTTGTTCACTTCTGAGATTGATTGGCCTGCATGCTACTCAGCTACAATATCTTTATCCCCATATGTTGCAATGTAGTGGGAACATGTGCAACCGCTCTGTAAGCTGAGTCCCATGACTCACTTCACAGCATGACCCAGGGCAACACCAACATGTTCTTCTCTCCTTGTTACATCTTTGGTATTTTCTGTATTATTTCCATGGCATAACCTGCATGCTTTGTAAGTTTTATTATTGTTAAATGAATAACTAAGCATCAGCACTTTTCAGGTTTAAAAGAGGTGAACAACCTGTGTTTTTATGACAATGTGGAGGTTGTCCTCACTCGTTTTCTGTTCATCTGTTGTGCCATGTTTTTAGCTGTCGTAATTATGAACATTTTCTGATCATGTTCATTTGACCAATGCCTCTGTAATATTACATATATACAGTTACTTGTATGCTAAAATGTTTATATCTTTGATATAAATTGTTTTTCATTTGTTCACAACATTTTTGTAATTCAATTTCAGTTTTCCCATATAAGAGAAACTAAAATATAGGATGAAAGATACCCTCCTAGGAACAATTAAATGTATTGTTTTAATACCTATGCATAGTTCCTTTGAATATGGATGTAATTATTTAGTTATATTCTAGTCATGAAGTTTATATATGTCTGCAAGGTTGGAATATAGGGAATCATTTATGTAAGTTTTGTTCTTCATCATAAATAATAGTTTCTTTGTGAACTTAATTCACTTGCTTTATTTTTATAAAGACAAACATAAAACATGAATCAAAATTTCTATGCAGGTGTCTAAAAAAAACTGGATAGTTTAAAACTATTTAAAACTAGATTTAAAAGAAAGGATGTTCAAACAAGAAAGAAATATAAAAGAGGAACATTTGGGATAAGGATAAAATTAAGACAGTTTTCAAAAAGACAAAATAGGAACTACTACACGTCCAAACCTCTAAAACCATAAAACTTTAAAAGTTTTATTATTTAGCTCAATTGTACCAAGCAATGCATTTCTTATTCCTCATGATCTCTTCTCAATAGTTTGAAAGTTCTGCCCTTTACCATTTAGGGAGCACTGAGGTAATCCTTTTGCAAATACAAATTTTGTTTGTGTGGTTTTGCTGTGGAATCTTGCATTATATTCCATGTATTCCTTTGCACTGTATTGTTTTGGAAGTATTTAGGTGTCTCTTTTATATCCGAGGAGACAGTAAACTGTTCAGAAGGAATGGAAAAATATCTTTCTAGGGATTTTTTGAAGCTATTTTCACAAAGACACTTCAGTAGGGAAGAGTAGAATGTGGTAATATCCCATCCTAGTGGTCCCACGTTGGAGGGGATGAGTTTTATTTAATAGATGTTAATTATGTGACACTGGTCCTAACTCAAGCTTCTGCTTGCATGAGTCTGGACAAGTGTAGAGCAGCATGCAAGCCAGTAATCTGGGAGCTTCCAATCACTTGACTGAAAAATACACAAATCTTTTTCATTTGCTTGCCACATTGTCTTACCCTCCCCTGCATAATAAGGCAATGCTTTTTTTAATAGATAACAAGTGCTGAGTTTTTCTAAGTTGATCCATTCAATCCAGGCAATTCAATCCAGGGCTTAGTGTCCATACAGTGTGGCCTTCTTACCTCTGTTTAGTAAACTGAACAGCAGCCAAGGGCCTGGAAGTTGGAAGGATAAACATTTCTGTCTTTACTAATAGTTCTCTTCCTGGAGTGATTCCCCAGATCAGTTAGACTTCTGCAAAGACTCTTGTTGTAAATAGAAAAGAAATTAACTTTCTGATTTTTAATTAGAGGGAGAAAGTCTTCTATGCATATTGATTTTTACAATCACCTTTGTTGTTTTTGTTGTTTGATACCTGCATCTTAGTGAGAAGTATGAGCCCCTCACATAAAAAAGAGAACCAATGTTTAATTAAATCTGTAACTCTTCAAGCAGTAGGATTATACTCTACGCCATCTGTGGAAGAAAGAGGAAATCAGACTCCCTGGTTTATATCAAAATAGTTCATAGAATCTCTAGTTTTATTTCTAGAGTAAAGAAAACTGCCTTTTGTAATTAAAAATAAATTTTAAAGGTCTCTAATCACTGATTCTTCTACCATGAAATATATGACTTCAAGTTCTAAACACATTGATTCTTTTCAGTTCCTTTCGTGTTTGTGGTTGTTCATCTTTTATACTTTCATTTGAATTAATGTCATTTGCTCAAAAGGTCCTGAGCTTACAGTTCAAATTACTCAGGGTACTTCACATTGCTTTAAATTTTTATTAGTAATATTACACAAAACTCCTTATTCTTAAAAGGTATATATTTTAAAACTAATAATTTTAATTATTTAATTATATATTTTAATTTACTCACCACCACTGCAACATTTTGCAATATATATGCTATGTCATGGAATGATGAAAGCAGCAGCAGCATAATAGAATTGTGGAGGGCATATTGTGCTATCCCTGGGTTCAGTAGAAGTAATGACAGAAAAAGTTTGTTGTGAATATTGCTATTTTGAAATTATGTTGCGATAAAAGTAAAGACATGTTTACCATAAACATGAGCTATATGGGGGTTCTATTCCAGATAATCAGTTTGTAAAGTGATAGAAAAGTAGGCAATATAACAAAACTATTTTTAATGAAACCTAATGCAGAGTATTATCATATTGTCTGTCTTCTTTCACAAACATAAAAACTTTTTTAATACCAAAAATAATCTCATCCTTTCACATTTTACAATTGAGGTGTAAATACAACTTGATTGGATGGTAACTTGTCTGCATTTATCTCTTAAATATCTCTTAACCATAAAAATCTAACTAAATTAGTAAAAGTGGCATTGATTTGACAAAACCAAGGTTGTTTAATAAAGCATGCTTACATCATTCCCTACAGACATTACTTGTGTGACTTCATTACTGATGTTATAACAACTTCTTGATAACAACATTGTAAAATGTCAGAGAATGCTGTGACCAAAACTACTCTGATTTAGTTTGGTACTCATACTTTACTTAAGTGTACAGGACACCACATCTTCCCTTAAAATCTCCAGATCTCTGCGATACACAGGCAGATTACAAAATAATATATTAAGGCTTATTCTTGTATTGGATGTGGGGTTTTTATGTGTGTTTGTGTGTGTGTTCGTTTTTATATTTGGGGATCATTTTAATAATGTGACTTATGTAATATTAATTGCTAAAAAAAACAACCAAAAATTATTTCTGGGTGTTGACTGTACAGGTATGTGTACCAGAGTAATGGGTAGTTTCAGAATGCACAATATACTACATATGTGCATTGGCAAAAAAGAGTGGAAATTAATGCCAGTTGAAATGTATAAGAAAGTAACAGTAGAAAGCAAAATAAATGGAATATGTATTAGTAAATCAACTTGCTAACAGTAAACTTCCTAGAATTTCTGAAATTCCATTAAAGATTCCACACTCTAGATAGAAAGTGGATGATTTATGCACATTTCAACAGCATTGACTGCTACATGTGGGTGTTTTTTTGTATTTCTGGTGAAAAATATTGTTCTTCTTATGACTGGCACATGGTGTTGCATGCTTAGTTAATTAAACTTCTAAAAATATAAATATTAATAAAGTAAAATTATAATTGAATTTTGTTTTCAGAAGCTTGATTTTTCCAGCTCATCAGAAGGAAGTACAGTTAATTTAGCTGTCTTTGGAGAAGAAAAAAGTGAAACTGAACCAGAAAAAGCATCAGAACTACAGGCATGTTTTACAGCAGGTATGGAAATAAAATTTGGGCCTAGCAATTACGTTTTGCTTGTTTGCAACAAACGTTGGGATTTTAAGGAAGCTATTTGCTACAGCAGTCCTAGATCCTAGTTCATCAAGTCTTAGGGTGTGATTAATTTTGCCTGTTGTAGATAGCAATACTGACATCTATGAAGTACTATTCATTAAATCAAATTTCAATATGTGTGTATGTGAACATTTATAATATTTTAATTATAATAAATATTTATAAATGTATTTTATAATTCTATAAAATTATTCTCAGTAGACATTAATTCTCTTGATTTAAATTACTTTGTTAGTAGTGAATCTGTGAGGTTCACTTCACAGAGAAATTTAAAATGGAATCATGTGATTATTCATGGTCACTTCCTAGTGCTAGAAAGCAACACAGTGGGTGATTCAGATCATCCACCATCATTCAATGGAAAGTTTGACTCAATAAATTTATTTTGTTGACATTACACCATTAATGGGGAAAGAGGGTGTATAAATATAGTGTGGTTTAAAACAGGTAGATGAGAGGCTATGCATCTATTTAAGTTAAGAAATCATAACAGCATACTTGCATGTCCTTAAATGTTTTATTATTTATTTAGTTCTTTATAGCTGTATCTTCTAGTGGACTACTGAAATTTACTATGTAGGAAATAATGTATGGGGGTTTTTTTGTGATATTACAGTTCTTAATTTCCTTTTAAATTATGTGTAAAATAATTCAGAACAAAATATGGTCCAGGATTAACTCTCCTGTCCTCTCCGTGCTTTTTAGTTTACTGTTTTGCAGACATCTTTGATTTAGGTTAGGACTTTTGTCCTTTGACGTATCATTTTATTGGTCTTTATAAAACCAAAGTTGTTTGTCAGTATGGGGCTGTATTGACTATACCAAGTTCTTAATTAAAAAAAAAAAATCCAACAAACAAATGTACCTTTCTCAAGTGCTTTGACAATATATTACAGTTCTTCCTTATCCTTGTGTTATGTGATACCAATTCATTCTTGGGCATAAGATTCATTTTTTCATAGTGTAAACATTTTGAGTGGTTGAAGGTAAGGTGGTTCATGTTCTTCAAAGTCATACCTTTTTAATCTGAGATGATGAAATATAGTGTAACTTATTTGTAACATATGAACTTAATGGCTTAACAGGAAAACCAGAATGCCTTTGGGACCTGTTAAAGTCATGTCAGCTTAGTTTTGTTTCTTTGTGATTAACAATTTTTAAAGAATTAAGAAGGCTACTCTTGGCTAGGCAGATATTGAGGTTCATTGCCAGCAATGCCTTGAGGCCCCATGATAAAATAGGGAGCTCTCCAATGTGAGGCAAATTTCTGTGGACAGTTGCCACTAATCTGTATCACTTTGGAAAAGCGCTCATAATCTCCTGTTAAAACATTTTTTTATGTAAGAGGTATCCTTAGCCCCTGGAACATCAGTTGTTCCTCAGTATATTAAAAATAATATTTATGTCTGATTTATTTGAACCTTTTCTAAAAGATAAAAGTTCTTTTAAAAGAAGAAGCTTCTGTATTCTTTAACAAGTACATGTGAAAGTTGCTATGTGTGCTCTTTGTTTCTACTCCCTGAAATTTGCATGTTTTTCAATTATCTGTATATAAACTGAAAATACATATTTTTAAATGTGTTTGTAAATGAAAATTAGCTCAGTTAGATGACTATCCTTTACTATAAGCTTGATGTAGCATCAGAGTAGAGAAAAAATTGTGTATACTCAAGCTTTCCTATGTCCAAAGTATAAAATTGAAAAGCTAAGTAGCATAAGGAGCATGAAGTAGCTTGAACTTCCTGGAACAGGAACTAGCTAAGGATGATTCGGTTTTTCAGGATCATGAAAATTCTACCATGTAATAGTTTCTTAATTTTTGTACTATAAGGCTGTGTACAGAAGTTTAAATGCTGTAAAGGCAATAAGGAGAGCACAAAAGGAAGAATCTGGTGGAACCTCCGAAAAACCTGTTACAAGATAGTAGAGCACAACTGGTTTGAATCATTCATTGTCTTCATGATTCTTCTCAGCAGTGGTGCTCTGGTAAGTAGAGCTTGCACCCATAGGAACAGCATCAATAAAAGTGTTTTATCAAAGCTAGTTTTATAACACATGTGTATTCATTAAGAATAAAACACAAATTGTCTTTGGAGAGAGCTTGGAACTAAATTCCCAGAATATTTTGGGTATTACTTTTAATTTACATTACATTAAAATTTTGATGAATTTAAGGTGATGTGTGTGTTTATGAAAAGGATTATACAAAAAAAAAAATGTTTAAGAAATTACAAAAAAAGGAAAAAGGAAATGTATGCATGAAACAATTATTCTACTTCAAATGAAAATTGTTCCCCAAAGCAGATACTGAGTTCATCATGTTCTTAGTTCATATTTTGCCACAGTCTTAGTTGCAGTATTTCTGTTACATAATAATTACTGAATTTCTTTATACTATTCTTAGTGACATTTAGTGCTTCACATATTTGGGTTTGTTTTGGTGGTTTATTGACATAGGATTTGCTATATATAGTGTTGGTCTCTGCTCCAGCACCTGAAGTACCACGTACTTCCTTCTTCTCTGACCTTAGTGTGTGCAGGGTGGTTTCGCACGTTTTTTCCTTCAGTGCTCCTACTGCCATGCAGTGTTTTGCCTTTTCTTAAATATATTTTCCCAGAGGCACCACCAGCTTCATTGTGGTGCTGGGCTGTGGGATCAATGGTGCAGCTGGCACAAAGAGTCCCCTGGTCTCTTCTCACAGTGGCCACATCTACAGCTCCCACTACTAAAACCTTGCCATCAGCACCTATGGCTGAAATTCACTAGAGATCATCAGCATAATATCTGGTCTCTTATGTTAATTGAAGTTGATGTAATAATGAGACTGCCTTCTGATGGAACCTGGCTGGGCTTTTCAGGGTGAAAAATTACAATTCTCTGTTGGTTATTGAAATTTCTAAAAATCTTTTTGGCAACCTCAGACTTTATACTGGAATTCCATTTTTGGACAATAATAAAATCTAAAACTTAGAATGTAATTACAATTTCTGTTATTTTGTTTTTTCATGGTAAAACATCTAGAATTGAAAGTGATTTTACTTTGCTCTTTTCATTTAGTTCTGACTTAATTTGTAATTTTCAAAGACTTTTCAATATCTGACTAACATGTAACCCATTCTTTACAGGCTTTTGAAGATATATATATTGAAAAGCACAAGACTGCAAAAATCCTGCTGGACTATGCTGATAAAATATTTACTTATGTCTTTATTCTGGAAATGTTGCTAAAATGGGTGGCCTATGGTTTTCAGACTTACTTCACTAATGCTTGGTGCTGGCTGGACTTCCTCATTGTCGATGTAGGTGCTATGTTTTCAAAGTAGTTTGCTTCTGCTGTTTAGGCAGGTCATTTATGTAACTTCACTCTGATAGAGATATATGCACTGAATAATATAAATTTGGTTTAAAGGAATAGAAAATGACATACTGATGAATAAGATCCTGCTGCAATTATCCACTGTGTACCTAAATCTGCCTTTGTGTTGTCATTGACACCATGTGTTCTGTGTTTCACTGTGCGGGGTCCCAGCTGGTGAGGGAGCACTCTGCTGGTTTGACTTCAGTCTGCTGGATGTGGCTACACAGAGCAAGGAGGATGCAGACACAAGGAAAGAAAAGGAAATTTAAGTGAGCACATGGGGTGGGCATTTGATTCTGTGCTTAATGAGGCACTGGCAAACTGCAGAGGACAATTCTTTTCAACAATAACATTAAAACTAGTGCTGATACTATACTCCAGAGAAACTAAATTAGTGACATTGCATGATTTGTTAATTTAAAGCAGTTTTTTCTTTTTGCAAAGATGTTGGAGTAGAGATTCAACAAATAGACAAAAGAAAACTATTTATTGGGTGGTATCTGGAATCTAGGACAGAGATTTTGTCCCCCACCAGTAGAATTGAAACTTACCTCATGCTCTTTTTAAAGGAGATTTTTTGGAGGGGAAGGCACAAGTGATACTTGATATTGTCTTCCTTTTTTAATTGTGCTTCTCTTTTCCATGAATCCCTATTCTTAGCAAATGGACTAACTGAGTGACATGAGAAAAAATCTGATATGTCTTTTCTGGAATGTGAAGTTTCCTGGTTTTTGTTTTCAGAGCCTCTCCATTTCTTCTGCTGTGAAAATGTGAAAATGTTTCTGTTATGAAATGGTTTATACTTACCCAAGTATGAAGTCAGCATGTTCCCAGAGCAGATATACTGACCTGTAAGAAATTTAGCAAGTGTAAGGGTCCTCCCCTAAGATTAAATTTTCCAAAACAAGATAACTTCAGCACACAAAAAGAAAAAAGTTAGGACTTTCTTTGAGCCAGGCTGTATATATTATTTTTGTATATTTGCTTTCTTTGTGGATGCTATGGCATTCTGATTTTTCTTTATTATAACTTAAGTGTTAAGTAAAAAATTATGACAATTTTATAATTAATGGGAAGTCAGCACTAATCATCTAGATAGATTCTGGCACCTTTGCATAAAATTGTTGATGCCATACTTTAGACTCTTTTCATATTATGAAAAACCAGACAGTATTTTTTCAGAACCTTGTGATACTTAAATTTAGAAATTTTTTCCATTACAATGGTCATTGGTAAAAAAGAAAGAAAATCAAACAGAAAAAAATAATTCTGTTACTATCTAAGAGGTATTCAGAGTTAGGGTTTTTGCACAAACCTATGTTGGGAAAGGCTGATCTTGAATTGAGTTTTAAGATCAATTCTTCTGATTAGGCATACCACACATCCATGTAGATAGGTATGGGCTCTTCATTTTTTCATCAATTTCAGTTTAATGTAGCCATCTTAATCTTTTGTTTAGAGCATCTGCATTTTGTGGCCCTATAGTAGCAGTTCATATAACAATTCATGTTGGGGGGCACCATCAAAGGTTTTCAATTAGCTCTAACCTCAAGGTTAGATTAGACAGCTCAGGCTGATACTCTGTTTTGAATGGAGAATGCCTTACTTAGCGATCAATTTCCAGTATTTGACCTCCTATATTGTAAACGCACTCCTTCCCACCCCTAAAGTCTGCTTAGCTTTTTCTGACATTGTTGCCAGACTTGTTATTGTCTTCAGCCCATAAGAAGGAATTTTAATTATTTCTCTTCCTGATGGTTTAGTATGTGGTATGCCATCATTTGTGGTATGCCCTCAGCTATTTAAATAGATCCTTGTTCTATCTTTCTTTCCTTTTTAGCCTTTATCCAGCTAAACATTGAACAAATTTTCCATACCAGTACCAGTCACGTTAATTATCACCATGAGACATTTTACGGAATCTCTTCAGGAAAACTGTTCTGTTCCTATCAGCCTAAACTCTCCAGCCGTTCTCTGTTTGGGAAGGAGCTTCTAGTACACAGACATAATTCTTACCCATTTTGATGTGTACAGTTATTTCTGAAACAGATAATAGGCCCTGAAACAAATAAAAATGCTCATTTTCCTCAGCTTTCTATGTGCAAGTAAAAATAGTATCACAGAAAAGAGCAAAAATTGGATTGTATAGTATTGGGCAGCTTGCTTGAGCTACTCTTAAGAGGAAAAAAATGTGCAGAAGACTTCCTCATGTGTAAACACAACAGGAGATGGCTGTCTGGAGTGGGAGACTCAGTGAGGACACAAGTCACTGACTTTCACTGGAAAACAACAGGAAAATCAACTTTTGAGCTGCTAATCCAGCTGTACTGGGGTTTCAAAAATTCTTGTGGATTAAAACCTTTCTTTCACAAAAGTAATGATGTTAAAAGAGGAACTCTCAAGGCTTATTAATTTTCCAAAATACAAACAATTTACAAAATTCAAAGTAAGATCTTTTCCAGCTTATGTTAACAGGGTGCTTTTCTGTAATTATACTGTCCGGTAGTCACAAGAACACAAAGTTGAAATGAAGCTCAGGTTGGGATTCTGTCTCATGTGCATCATTGCAGGGTGTTTTGTAATATTTCCCCTTCTTTTTTTTGCAATATACCTTTTGAATTTTCTAATTTTCTAATGTTTGTGTAGCATTTCTATATGTAGTAACATTTCTATATGTATATTATAGCTGGTATCAAAGGTTGTCCAAACCATAATCAAACACATGGAGGGAGAGGAAATTATTTAGTTTTCTAAAAATGAAAATGCACATATAGTACTATGGATCTGTATGTTTCTGTTCAAACTGTTCTTAAATTAATATGCAATTTAATTTTCATGGGGTTTTTTTTCTTTTTCCATTTATTTTCACTGCAAGATTAATGACCTTGTGATTTTCTTTTTCCCAATATCCAGATCAAAATTTTACTTCTCAGAGCATTTGAAGCTACTTAAGAAAAGTACTTCTGTTTTGTCATGTTTCCTCTAGGTCTCGTTGGTTAGCTTAGTAGCTACTGCCCTTGGTTTCTCAGAATTTGGTGCAATTAAATCTCTCCGAACATTAAGAGCTTTGAGACCTCTAAGAGCTTTGTCACGCTTTGAAGGCATGAGGGTAAGAAAAAAAAAAGGAAAAGAATTGTGTGAAACAAATCCTTAAAAATATGCCAGATTATAAAATCATGGAAGAACACTAATTGCATGTTAGCAAGGCCAAGAGTAGCATGTTTGATTATATGACGTACATTACTCCTTTTCTATTTGCATTACTTCAGTATAATGTAATGTTTTACCTTAAATCATCTTCTGGATTATAAAAAAAGCCAAAATGCTTGTGTTGTTTTTAAAGTTTTGTTTTTTTTCTCTGTTTATTGTCCAGGTGGTTGTGAATGCTCTTACTGGAGCAATCCCATCCATAATGAATGTACTTCTGGTTTGCCTTACATTCTGGCTAATTTTCAGCATTATGGGAGTCAATTTGTTTGCTGGAAAGTTCTATCACTGTGTTAACACCACAAATAATGTGATGTTCACACCAGAGGAAGTCAGTAATAAAAGTATGTGTGAAGATCTGAACAGGACTTCTGGAGGAGTTCGGTGGAAAAATGTGAAAGTAAACTTTGATAATGTTGCAATTGGTTATCTTTCTCTGCTTCAAGTGGTAAGTGGATATATTTTCCAACTAATTTTAGTAGCGGTATGATTTAATTCCATCATTTTCAATGTTATTTTAATATTAATAAATGGATTTAGATTTGACTTTATAATTTTGTTCTATGGGTCTAATTAATGTTGCTTATTGTAAAAATGTGATACATTCTCTGGATGCATTTTGGGAGAGGAGTGGTATCTAATATTTACCTGATGGACATAAAATTGCTTGGCACCCAACTGCTAGTGCTTTTTCAAGTGCTACAGAAATACAGTATATAGTTAAAATATCTGGTTAAAAACTGCAGCTAGGTTTCATTTTATTTTCTTTTCTTTATCTTTTAAGTCATATTGACTAATATTTTTACCATGGTTGTCATAGATACGTTCTAGGACTTATCTGATCTTCAAAGAAGAGAGTGCTAGATTTCTAGGCATGAGCCTTTTTTAGAGAAAGTGTCTGTAAACTGCCAATAAGAAAAACATATATTCATAATAAGGTTCATTTGACAAAATGCTTCTGGGAAATCATTTGTACTCATAAGCAATTGGTAATTAATCTGTTTTGAAAAATTTCCAAGTGGTAGAGTTCAGTAGTTAGTATTGTGCTAGCCAGGCTACTGTCTGATTGCTTCAAGAGGTAATAGTAGCTATTGCTAAACAATACTGGGAAATTGCATAAAATACCAGCTTAGAGAGTGGCACTGCTTTTAGCATTTAGCATGTCTTGCACCTACAGTTCACCTATGCAATGACTGCAGTAAACATATCATTCACACCTTTCATGCCCTCAGTATCACAGCTCACCAGAGTAAGTTTGATGAAGGCTCTCTAGAGGGATAAGGAATTGGTTGGATGGCCGTGTCGAAAGATTTACAGTCAGTGGCTTAGTGTCCAGGAGGAAACCAGTTCCAAGTGGTACTCTCAAGGGTTTGCTGTAGGACCAGTACTTTCTAATAGTTCTATCAATGACATTGATAATGGAATTGAGTGCACCCTCAGCAGTTTTCAGATGACACCAAGCTGAGCTTTGTGATAGGCTTACAGGGGATGCCAGCCTGAGGGACCTCAGCCAGAACATCATGCAATTCAAGGCCACATGCAAGGTCCTGCACCTAGTTCAGGCCAATCCCCAGTATGAGTACAGACTGGAAAATGAATGGATTGAGGTCTGTCCCACAGACGTGGTCTTGGAATGCTGGTGGAAAAAAACTTGACATGAGCTGGCAATGTGCGCTTCCATTTCACGTAATTGCACAGGATTTGACTGCAAAGTCAATCGTATCCTGGGCTGGCCAACAAGAAGTGTGGCCAACAGATAGAGAGGTGGTTCTTCCTATACACTCCATTCTCATGAGACCTCACCAGAACAATATAGGACCTCTTAGAGGTCCAGAAGACAGCCAAGGAAAAGATCAGAGGACTGGAACAACTTTCCTTTGAAGAAAGGCTGAGAGGGGTGGGGTTGTTCAGCCTGGAGAAGAGAAAGCTCTAGAAAGACATTATGGTGTCCTTTCAGTGTTTAAAGAGGGCTTATAAGAAAGAGTGAGGGAAAATTTTTCCCAGGCCCTGTAATGACAAGACAAATGTAAATGGTTTTTAATTGAAAGAAGGTAGATTTATATTGGATATAAGGAAGATTTACTTATTTTTTTAGTGATGATGCATTGAGACATTCAGGTTGCCAAGAGGATGTGGATTACCCATCACTGGAAGTTTTTGAGGTAGTGAAAGACATCCCTGCCTGTGAGTTTAAACTAGATAATTTCTGAAGATCATTGCAAGCCAAACAATTCTATGATTCTATTATTTTCTTAAGATTTTATGGGACAACTTACCTTTTTGAATTTCTTCTAGGACTGTTTCCTTAGTACATCTGAACAATGCCAATTGATGGTGGCTGATTTTTTTTTTTTCCCTGGAGAAGTCCTCTGGTTTTTTGGTAGTCAGGAAGTTAGAACTGAAACCCATATTATAACACCCTGAGGAAAACCAAGCAGTGTTTGGGAACAGCTGGTGTCTTCACCATGTGCTGCCCTTGGGGCAGAGCAATGGTGCATTCCAGAATGGTTCTATCAATAATGGAGCTACAGGGCAGCCAGAGCCTGGGACGTGCAGGGGAGGTCCTGGAGGTGAAGCAGTGGATCCAGGCTGGGTACTGACTCTGGAAGGTGCACAGAGCTGTGTGTAGCCCACTGTGACCCCCATGGCACGCTGTGGTGGTGGCCCCCCTGTGCCCCAGTGTGGCCCAACACAGCCTCCCATGGCCCCCATGGATACCATGGCACACTGTGGACACTGTGGCTCCCTATGCCATGGCACACACTGGGATGGATGAGATACTGAATTCTTGGGAAGCTTCACCCAGTCTCTTCTTGGAGCTCCTGATATTCTAGTGGATTTGAATTAGATGCTATCCCAGTGCAGGTGGACTAGCTGTTCATGGAGGTTCCCTGTATCCTGACGACAGGGACTTGGCTTTACTGGAATGCCAAAGGACACAGTGCCTTTCCTGTTCAGGTAATGCTTTACAGATGGCAACCAGCACGTCACATTTCCCTGGGAGATAAATCACTGGTATGGTGATACTGATTTGCAACTCGCAAAGAGTTTATATGAATTTCCAAGAAGATTAGAATTTATTCAGTGTTTTAAGAATTAGGGGAAAATATTCCACAGTAATGAACTTTCTGTGCATGCTTCACTTGTAACTCACCAGACTTTTAATATTCTCTTTACTGTTATGAATACAAATACATTGCAGAAGACACTGTTTTATTTAGAATGTTCTTAGAACTGGAGCTTTGATAGAAAATATTAACAAATTCTGTTTTTAGGCAACATTTAAAGGGTGGATGGAGATTATGTATGCTGCAGTTGATTCTACACAAGTGAGTGCAATATAAAATCTACTGAGTAAAATAAATATATTTACTGAGGGAAAACAAATGCATGATTGATGTAATACTTCTTGAATGGCAATTGAAATGAACTAAAATATAAAAAAATAAATGTAAAGCCCTGATTTTTTTTTCTATATAAATCTATAAGTAAATAATATATAAGTAAAGTACTTATATTTTTAACAGGTAAAAAAAAAAGTATAGCTGTAGAGATTTATAATTTAGTACTTACGTAATAATTATTCTGTAAAAATCAAATATTATGAGATGTGGTTTTCTATTAATTTATGTCTGAGATTGTACAGATCAGGAAATAAGTTTTTCCTGTGTCTTCAAAATTAATCCAAATAGCCAAGAGGCATCACTGCAAAAGCTAGTCCAGAGCTGCAGACTCTGATGACCTCAAAAACCAAATTTGATCAGTTTTACCTATTTTTCTTTTAATCTTGCTATTTGTTTGTTCTTCAGTCCAGCTCTTGATTTGCATATAGTCTATAGGAACTGAATTGCTTTTGAGATTTGCACATTTCTGTCAAATTCAGTAGTACTACATGTAGTAGTACTACATGAAATGTTAAATGTCATCAAAGAGGACAGAGGGAGAAGGAATGGCAAGTCTTGCAATGTATTCAATTACAGAAACCTGTATAAAATAGATTTTCAAGTTGAAATATAAGGCAAGTGTAATGTATGCTCCAAAAGAGTGGGGTTTACTCCCTTGAACAGCTGGGCTTATCCCCTGTCCATCTGGATGCAACTTCTCTTCCTGCTGAGGAATCTTTGATTTGTATTAAGTGTTATTTGTGATGCTTTACTGTTTTTCTATGTTACATAGGTAGAGCACCAGCCAAAGTATGAAGACAACCTGTACATGTACATTTACTTTGTGGCCTTTATTATTTTTGGATCATTTTTCACCCTAAACTTATTCATTGGTGTCATCATAGACAACTTCAACCAACAAAAAAAGAAGATAAGTACCACATGTTTAATTTTCATACTTCCTCACTTTTTCTAAATATTCAGCAAATGCATGCAAGGAAAAATAAGAGTTTTTGAAATTCCTTGTAGTAATAGAAAGAAAAAAAGAATTTGGGTTTTAAGATTTTTGTTTCTTCAAAATAATGAAGTAACAGTCTTTTCTTTTTAAGGCATTTGAAGTAATTTAAACTTACACTGAGTGTCTGAGTGTTCTCCACATCCCTGTACAGCCCAGTGATATGTTGTCAATCAGAAAGTTATCTCTTTGTTTTTCTTAACCTTACAGTGCTGTGATCAAGCTATGTGACAGTGCAGATGACTCAAGCAAACAAAAGTCAGGAAAGAAGAGAATGTGCAAAACTATAAATGTCAGAATTGATTAGGAGATAACATATAGCAGGATTGTGAAGGCCTCCATTACAGAGACTAATACAGACAAGCTGAATGCTGAAAATACTGCTATGTATTGTAAGATTAGAAAGGGCGGGGAAACTGTCTTGAGTTAGTGAATTTGCAAGAAAAAGAAAATGGGTGTCATTTGACAATATGTAGGTTTTCTTTTCAACTTTAGCTGTTTCTATTATTTAAATGAGAGCAGGATTGTGTCAAGAACTCTAGGAACATTTAAATAGATGAAAATTCAGGCTATGATGGCAAATTCAGTTGTACTTGCTATATAAACCATAAATGGTGGCATCTTCATCCTTCAAGATATTTGCACCTTCCTTGGCATAAACTTCAGGGGAGTTTACTGGAGTTCACTGGAGTAAACTCCAGTACTTAGCAGGAATGTGGATCTATTTCTCATCCTTGAGAGCAAGACTAAGGTTGTACACAATATTAATGGTATTTTTGGCAGTCAATATTTAACAAGGTGACCTTAGTAGTGAGGTAATTATAAATTCTATTAAGTTCACTTGGCAGACACTGGAATCATCATGTCTCAGAAGGCAGATAAGGGTTCCTGCTAATGGGCTTTTTCTGGCAATGTGGCGTACACCCCCTGTACATTTGGAGCTGTTGTAAGTCACCAAGAAAATAAAATACTGGACATGCAATTAGGCTGGGGAAAATTCTGTTTATATGGTATTCTTCAGTTTTATGTAGCAAATTAGCAAGCATTAACTGTCTTTTGAATTTATAGGTGTACCTGTGTTCCTGATGTGCAAACCACACAGTTCATGGCTACCCAGCAGTATTTTTCTTGTCTTTGTGCTTTCTTAGCATCACTGACATTTGGGCATGTTGGGATATGAATGGGAAAAGACCTCATGTTGCAATATACTATCTCTGCTGTTCTGTGGTTCCTGTGTTCATCCTACTTTCATTATATTAGTTCCATGAGGGAGGCAATGTTCTCCTGTCAGTTTCCTAATTGGTCCTTCAGGGTATCTTGCCTTGAGGCCTATGTTGTCCCTAGGAACAGAACACTGAGACAAGGATGCCTTGTTCACTCACGACAGTCATTACATCAGTGAGACAGCAGAAGAAATCCCCAACCCAATCCCACTTTCTTCATGGATTTTTATTTATTTATTTCCCACTGAGTGAAATCTTCCAACAGTCACAGCACATTTCCGCCATAATTATCAAATCAACTTCTTGTTTTTCTTCCAAAACTTATTCTCCAAGAAGTTAATTTTGCTTGAGTATTTGATTTATGTTGAGAGTTTGTTAAAGACAGTCTCTCTTGACTTCTAAGTCTTCATGTCAATATATAGCCACAGCTGAAAAGTAAGCACACCTTCATTCAGTCTTATCATTATTTTGTCTGTAAGATTGACACTTGACACATTTGACAAATTTACAGAACAAAGGTGTGACAAAGTCACAGAATCAGCCCTGACTCGGAAGTTCATTTCCAAATGCCACTGCTTTTCTATCATGCATACCTAATTACAAACAAATGCATGAAAGGAAAAAAACAAGTTACTTGTCAATATAAATTGTATTTCTGATAAGACTTTCCATGTGTGTATTACACATACCAGGCTAGAAATCCTTTTATTCAGATAAGAAACTCCAGAGTACACCCATGCAGAGTAAACTGATGAACTCAGTACAATGTAGGGGGATGATCAAGCTACATATGCACTGTTTATGTATCATCTGAACTCAGATACGTATACTCAAATGGTAAAATGCACATCCTGAAAAGAAAAATCAGTAATTTCTTTCTTCTTTTATATTTTACCTGAAGACATATCTGTTCACAGTGTATCTTTGTACCTTTGAAGCTTTTTTATTTCTGGTAGATTGATTTGCAATGTGGAATATATGATGCTAGATTTATAACTGTATATGAAATGTATATATCACAAGTTGGTTTTTTTTATTTATTTAACTGAATTAATCGGATAGGTCTTGTTTCTTAATAAGAAATAGAAGTTCTTGGGATTTTCTTTGTTTCTTAATTTCTTTCACTTTTCCTTCAAGATATTTTAACAGTCTTTGAAATAATTATTATGTTTTTGTTTTGGTAACAATATATAAGGATGAATAAAGGGTTCATTGAAACCATGTTCTGCAATGCTGTGAAATAATGGATGTAAAGGCTTGGCTGTAATCAGATTTGGGGTTTCTTTTATTAATTTACCTTGGAGGTCAAGACATTTTCATGACAGAAGAACAAAAGAAATACTACAATGCAATGAAGAAGCTGGGATCAAAGAAACCACAAAAACCTATACCTCGACCAGTGGTAAGAATAGTGCTACTATGTAGTCTGTATCTGGGGAGAAATCGCAGCAGTACATTAATTATAATAAAATTTCTCATTTAACTCTAAAATGTTTCAGCCTTATTCAAATTATCCCTTCATTCTGAATTGAAATGTACATGTATCTGTTCTGCAGGAAAAATCCCTCATATTTGTTTTGCCTGAAGAAGCAGAGAATCAAAGAATGTGAAGAAATATAGGCTTGTTGGGTTTTGAGGGGAAAACTTTCAACTGGCATATAAACTACTGGAGAATGGTTGTTTTAAATTTTTGCTTGGTTGTATATTTTGGGAGAGGAGGAATGACATGGGAGGGAGGAAACAGATGTTTATTACATAAAAATACTATAATGTTTTCTTTTTTCTCCCCTCAGAACAAATTGCAAGGTCTGATGTTTGATATTGTAACACGGCAACTATTTGACATCACTGTCATGGTTTTAATCTGTCTTAACATGGTCACAATGATGATAGAAACAGATGACCAGACTGAACTGATGCAAAATATTTTATATTGGATTAACTTGGTCTTTGTAGTCCTTTTCACTGGTGAATGTGTCTTCAAAATATTTTCACTCCGTTATTATTACTTCACCATTGGCTGGAATATTTTTGATTTTGTGGTTGTTATTCTTTCAATAATAGGTAAGAAATTCTTATGTTCAAAATGAAATACAATTATCTGTTTATTTAATGATTTATCTCTGTCAAGTTGTGCAAATTGGAGGAGTTACTTAATTTTAATTGCTCTTGATTATTTAGTAAATGAAATGCATATTTGAGCATGCTAACTTTCTAAATAATTCTATATCAGTGTTAATACTTCTAGGTTTGGGGTTGTGCTCTAAAAGTACAGGGAAAAAATTCTTAAATTATCCATAGCAGATAAAATTAATCTCAAATTATATGTTCCACTAATTCCCCAACAAGAGTTGGCGTGGAATGTTTATACTTTTTTGTGGAAAATGTAATCTGTGTTAAAAACTTACTATTGGGCTGCTGCTTTTCCTGGTCATGTTCATCTATGCCATATTTGGCATGTCCAACTTTGCCTATGTCAAAAAGGAGGATGGGATTGATGACATGTTCAACTTTGAAACATTTGGCAACAGCATGATCTGCCTGTTTCAGATCACCACGTCCGCGGGCTGGAATAATTTGCTCAACCCAATCCTTAACAGTGGGGCACCAGACTGTGACCCCCATATAGAACATCCAGGGAGCTCTGTGAAAGGTGACTGTGGCAACCCTTCTGTTGGGATTTTCTTCTTTGTGAGTTACATTATCATTTCCTTCCTGGTAGTGGTGAACATGTACATTGCTGTGATTTTGGAGCATGTACATTGCTGTGATTTTGGAGAACTTCAGTGTTGCTACTGAAGAAAGTGCTGAACCCTTGAGTGAGGATGACTTTGAGATGTTCTATGAGGTTTGGGAAAAATATGATCCTGATGCAACACAATTCATAGAATATAGCAAACTGTCTGATTTTGCAGCTGCTCTAGAGCCTCCTCTTAATATACCAAAACCAAACAAAATCCAGCTTATCGCAATGGATCTGCCTGTGGTGAGTGGTGACCGAATTCACTGCCTTGACATCTTGTTTGCTTTCACAAAGCGTGTGCTGGGGGAAAGTGGGGAGATGGATGCCCTCAGAATACAGATGGAAGATCGATTAGATCGATTCATGGCATCCAATCCTTCTAAAGTCTCCTATGAACCAATTACAACCACACTGAAACGAAAGCAGGAAGAAATTTCTGCCAGTATAATTCAGCGTGCTTACAGACGTCATCTTCTAAGACAGTCAGTAAAGAAGCTTTCATTTCTGTATCAGAAAGATGGGGGTGATCAGCTTATCAAAAATGATATCGTTGTTGGTAAGCTGAGTGAAAACTCATCTCCAGAGAAAATGGATATGTCTGCATCCACCACAGCTCCGCCTTCTTATGATAGTGTAACAAAACCAGAAAAAGAAAAATATGAAGATGACAAATCAGAAAAGGAAGACAAAGGAAAAGACAGAAGAGGAAACAAAAAATAAAAGGCAGAGGTTATTCGTGATGAGTGTTCACAAGCTTGAGAATATGTTTTTGTCAGTAGCACTGTTACTGGAGGATTATGCCAAAATTACAAGTTTTTACATACTTACTGCATGCTGCAGTCAGTGCCTATCCAAGACAATGGTCCTTCACTAGTAAACTCTTGGTCTGTAACAAGGAAACAAACTTGCAGAGCAATAGTTTTGATTAACAGCTGTTACTAATTGAGAGACACAAAATTTCTACTTGGAACCCTTAATGGGTCCATATAAGCCTGTACTTCTGTGGAATAAGTGTGTCCACTGTGTACATTTCATCTCCTGTGTTCCATGTGTGTCAGCTCTTTTTCATTATCTCGTTTGCTTTGAATAACATACTGCTTTATTAATTCTGCTGTGCTGAGAAAACAAAATCTACTCTTAATTTAGATAAACACTAAATAATACTCTTACGTGCAGAGGACCACAAATGTCAGGAATATGTAATTATTGCATCATAATATGAATGTAGTTCTCTTCAAGCCACTTCTAAAGGCAAAAAAATCAGAATTCTAGATTGTCGAACCTCAGGATGTAGATCAAAGAAACAGCAAACTATGAAGCAACCAATAGAGTCCAGATAGAGAATTTGTCAGTAAATCAAGCAAGGGAATAATTTTTACAGAAAAGAGTTGGTACCTTAGTCCTTTAATATATTTATTTTTATTATCTTTTAGTAGTTCTTAATTTATTGTACTGTCCATTTCAGATACAGTGGTTTAAATAAATTATGCTGCATAGAGCTCCTGTTCGGAAAATTGCAAAACTGTGGAAAAAATTACTTTCAAAGTACAAGCTAGCTCAGAATTCCTGAAACATTGAACCAATTCTTTCCACAGAAAAGCTACAAATGCCAAATTCTGCCTATAAAAAATAGTATTTTTAAAAAAAATGTGCTATGTTTTGACCCTTGATACTGTGAGTAATGTCCATGCTTTATTCCAAAGTCTGTTGCTACACTTCTTATTTCATGAGTATATCCCACTTAGGAAAATAATCAAAGCTACACATTGATAGCAGAGTACCTTTGGGGAAAAATACTACTTTAATATATACCTCATATTTAAATTTCCCTACTTTGGAAGGATGGAGCATAGAAATACAAAATATGTATGTGAGAGAGGTGGTTTTGACCCCCTTGGCAATATGGTCAGGTTTCCACTGTAGTGTAACCTTCTGTAGAGAGCTGAGATGACCAAAAAGATGTACTGGAACCAGCTTTGTCCTGCACTGGGGTTTAGATGAGTTTTTTTTGCATTCAGGCTGACACTGTACCTGTAAGTAAAATACCCTCTGTTATTTAATCAGTTGTTTTACACAGTGGTGCCCTTCTGAACAAAGAGACAATGACCTAATTACTGTATATGTGTCAAATATCTACCCTAGTAAGTTAGCTTACAACATTTCAATAGATACTATGATGTGTTCTGTGATACTTCAAATAATTGGAAGCTCTAACTGATGCATGCTTGCTGCTATTATCCTACAGCTGTTAAAATTTAACATGGGAAGAGAAGTAAGTGGTAAAAAGAAAAAGTTTGACAAGACCATCGTTCCTCATACCAGTAAGCAATTGTTTGCTGCTATTAAAGACTTTATTTTGTGTGAGTGTTGTAATCAGCAAATATGCAGTAAGGTACTGGACTATACAGGCAAATAGATGGCTTAAAATACGGGGCTAGAAAAAAATTATATGTCTATTCTTTTTATTTAAAAATAGTTTTATTTTATAAGATTTTATACTTACTATAAGAAATTACACATATTTTCCTGTTGTTATTAATTTTTATTGCTGTCTTTGACACTTTACCATTCAGAAACGTAATATCAAATATGTAATTGAAAATTCCTGCTGATTGCTTTAAACAGCTTTTAATAAGGAGTAGTTTAAAAACAAATGGACACTACAAATTTTTTTCTGATCCATAGATAGGCCTTTTTTAATGTTATAATCCTGTCCGCTGATTTTCAGGTAATCTTAGTCATAGGAACCTTGTTGTTTCCCCAGAGTTAATCTGCTATCTGCTATCTTAAAGTAAAGTAAAGTAAAGCTATCTGCTTTACTTATTGGTGCACACTGCAGTAGAAACACTTTAAATAGCATTTCTTACTCAAAAATCTTTCTTCATGAGGATGAATAGCGAACTTGTGCAATGGGAAGTGAAACACTTTGCATTTCTTACAAAAGAACTAGAATATTGATGGGCTCCTGCTTTTATAGAAATTATTGGCTCATAGTGTACTGATGAACTGCATGCAGGAAATTGTTTTACCAAAAATAACTACATTGCTAACAACCCGAAAGAATAAAGATAACCTTTTTATGTAATTATTTTAGTCTTTGTCTTTTATTTTATGAAATTTATAAAGATTAACAAATTGGTAAAATTTAGGGGGAGCCACTTCAGCAGTGCGGTGATTTAGACAGCTAGATCACATGTTGCTTTATGACTGAGACCAGTATCAATTTGTCACCATCAAGATGAAATTAAATTCTGGTGTTGTCCTGACCAGAGGAATTTTTTTAGAATGCAGGAGAAAAACACATTTCAACTATGTGTCTTTTTGTCAAATTTTTGAGTTGCCCAGGAAGAGCTCCAGTGATATTCTCTTTTGGGCGAATCCAATGCAGGATGGCTCCACAGCTGCTCCTGTAGACACTGCTCATCATGGGGTAGGAGACCTGGGATCTGTCACCAAAATAACCCCATGGGAGCATAACAGAGTTGTTTTAATCCCTTTCCCTGTGAAGAAATCCATGCTTGCCAAGAGAAGGGAATGAGAGCTGTTTGAGGTTTCAGTGGATGTCATCAGGCCACTGAGGCCTTTGCCGAGGTGCTCGGGCAGGGTCCCTGGTGAGGGGTTGCTGCACACAGGTGGCAGGATAAGGGACACAGTGTGTGCATTGGACCTGGACTTGGGGTAATTAATCCTTTTTTTTTTATTTGTTTTTGTTTGTGTTCTCGTTTCTTTTATGAAGAGTAGCTGCTCTATACTTGGACCAATATAACTAAAAGGAAAAAAAAAATCCCTGAACTCCGCTGTGCTTTAAAAAACAATGTGCATTTTGTTTTTAGTAACTATATCTCATTTTAATAGGTATGAGTGTTTTTTTCAATCCAGAATAGCTAGTGTGTTAATATTGTAGTTGCTAACAATAATTATGTAATAATGTAATAATGTAAATACTTTTTAAAAATATTGGTTATATTCTTAAATTGCTGTTTAAAGAATAAGGTTAAGTTAGTGCTGGACTGTGGTGTATAGTTAATTTGAATATCCTATGTGGAATAAGTATAAAATATTTATGTAATAATTTTTCTAAAAATTTGGTAGTGCACAGAAATATCTATGGTAATTTATAAAATCATTTTACCCTATAAAATTTATATTATTTTTAAAGTTATGACTATTGAAACAATAACCCATCTGGAGTCAGTCCATTTTTAATATCTCAAATGCAATATCTTAGACCTTTACAAAAAAATTAATATATATTTGGATTTCAAGTGTATATAATTGAATAAATTTAGATACTTCCATATTGCTTTAAAATTATTCCAGTATACCATGAAGGTAAAAAGCTTATAGAAGACACAGTTGACTTGCAGACTTCCTCCTTAACCTGCAGGTATAAAATGAATCTGTGTTTTAGTTCTGATATAAGACAGTGGTTTCAGGTAATGGGTCAGTCATATATCATTATGCAAAACATTAAGCCAAATTCCTAGAGCAGTAGGACACTTCACTCTCTTATTCACAGAGAAGGAAAAATTAATAAGAAATGCTCCCTTAAAATTGTCTAAGAAATGACATTTCTTTACTCTCCTTTACTAACCCAGGAATGTAGGTGTATTTTACATCATGAAACTGGGAACCTTCAGTGCTCCTCCCTACCCTCCAAAAAAGCCCTCAAAATAGCCTAAACCTGTACTGGAACATAAGAATGGAACATTCCTGAGATTTTTCAAATCCTGGACTGGCCCTATAACAAAATTTTGTTTCACTTCTAAGGACAAGGCTAGTCCTGCATCCGTCATATGAAATCACTTGTGAAAACCAGGGAGGGAGAGATAGCAGGGGAGATAAGTAGGATATTGCTGACTGGCTTGTTTTCATAAAGAGGCCTTAAGCAGGTGGAGGGGTAGTTGGTGTTTTCAAGCTGGAGTTTGGCTGCTGGGGGCGGCGGGAGCATCTCCTGGCTGCTGTGGGGCCGCATCCGGCACAGGGCACGGACGGCACCGGCAAACACGAACTGCACACGGGCACCGGGAGAGCTTGGGCTCTGCAGAGAATGCACGGGGTTTGTGCTCGATACAACCTGATAATTTGTCTGGTTGTGTAAAGATAACATTTGCTGGCAATACTTGTGTGACTGAAAGGGCGGCTTCTTGGATTTCAGTTCTGTACCCTGGAAAACGTGTGGACCTATATGCAGACCTGATACCACGTTGGTTAAGAACTGCCATGCTCATCTGAGCTTACTAAACTACAGCTGAAGGGTTTTGATGCAGTGGGGAATTCCTCAAATAGCTTTGGGTTTACTTTTCTTAATAGCCATTATTCATCTAATTCCATGGTGCAGCCCTGAAACAGCCCCAGCCTTCTAAAGGATCACGGATGGAAGTATCTGTGTCGTTTGCATGGCAAACAGTGAGATATATATATATATAAAATATACATAATGAGCTACTATTAAAAATGGGGGGGATTTTTTTGACATAGAAAATGCTTACAATACTCATTCTATAGTATATATTCAGAAAGGCTTATCTAGCTCAGTAAGGCATTAGAAGAAATAATCTGAAATCTCTGCAGTGTAGAAGTATTTATTGGCTCACAAACCTCTGCATTAGCAACATCTTTTTCAGTGGGGGATGGTACCATTTCTTTCATTCTCGAAGCACAACTAGGTTTTGTCTATGTGATACAGCATGCAGGCTCTGTCACTCAGCATATTTATTTTTCCTCGCTGATCAGTGGGAGCCGTTGCACAGTGGAAAGAGACATTCTAGTGCTTGCCTTAAAAAAAAAAAAAAAAAAAGACACTGCAGTGTAACCCAAGCAAAGTAAACTGCGGCACATTCTCATCCCTCTGGAGAGGGAAAATTGCATGCTGAAGCACACATGATGTCTGCTGCAAGAAAAGCTTTTGATGAAAATAAAGAATGACACTTCATAAACTATTTATAACAATCAAACCCTGCAGTTCAAGACATGCTCTGCACTTCCATTTTCTATTGTCTTAAAAGCATGTTTCTTTAACAGTTATCTTAATAATAATCTTTGTGGAATGTGACAGCTGATTAAAAACCAGCACAATACATTTTTAAAAAAATGTCTATCTGAAATGGAATGTGGTAAACTGTTTTCATTTCCAAGGTAGTATCTCTAACAGTCATGTTTAGAAATGGTTGGAGAATTACATGCTGTTTGCAATATTGCTTTATAAAAAAGTCATGCTTGCAGATACCATAGCAACCCGTCATGTGGTACTTCTTGATTGCCAAGCTGTATAGTAGCTTTATGCTCATATTCTGCAGCCATACTTGCATTAATATCTTTATGTAGCGTTTAGTAAAAATTGCAGCTGCAGCCACAACAAAATGCAAACTGAACTACGCCAGCAGTGGCCTCAAATTCATGGTCTCAGGCAGGCAAAAAGTTAAAATATTCTCTCCAATAATTAACAGTGTGAATAACCTTTCTCTTGTCTTAACTTCTTCATGGCCCTGATGGTTGTCAAATGTGGTCTTACAATGATTGCTGCAGCATTGCTGCAAATCCTGGTTAATTTATTTATACAGATGGGAAACAGCTGCTCATGCTCCAACTGTAACACTGGAAATTGGATGTGATTTATGTGATGCTGAGTAAGAGCGCAGATAAATGCAGGCTCCTGATAGCCTCTGTCTGGAGCTGCATGTACATCCAAGAAAAAAAAAATTCAGAGTGATGCTAAATAGCACCATGAATTCACCAGCTTTACCACTCTTGCTTTCTCATTTATTTGAAAAGCAGTTACTTGAAATTTCATTTATCTATATTGCATCAGTCTTTTGGAATTATGTTATTTTTATATAAGTACTAGAAGGACAAGGAAAGGAGAATATTTGCTTTGAAAAGATAGTAACCAATGACATGAAGACAGCTTAATACAGAGTTGACGTGATTTTTCTACTTGTATTTCAGGATTAAAACCTTTTTTTCACAGTTGAATTCTACTGCATGTAAGGAGAGAATCCAACAGGAAATTCCAAAAGCTACATAGAAGTGTCAGGAAATGAAATTACGGTGCTGGTGTTACTGACAGGTTATTAATATAAAGTCTCTTTGCAGAAGTTAATTGGAAATTGATGAGTGGAAAATAATGAAATTGAGATCATAGAGTAAGAAAAATCTGCAGCAGAGTATGATTGGAAATTATTGTCTTACACATTGGAACTGTTTTACTTTTGTGATCAGAGAGAATACTTCATACTAACTAGGATCAAAAACTTTACATGTCAGTTAATATCCAAAACAGATCTATATCTATGTACCATATTTATTCACATCTATTACTATATAATTGTCTCTAATAATTTTACAGTTTAAAAACTCTCAAAATTTTCTTTAGAATGAAAAAAGCATAACAGGCAAGCATGCAGGTTCAACTTTTCTGTATTCCTTGGTACCTATTCATTCCAGCATCCCTTTCTCTGTTCCCCTATCAATCCCTTTCCATGAGATGAAGATTTCACATGGCAGTTCAGACTGAGGTGGTGCAATGGTGGTGCTTTCAAAAATCCATGATGAAGTAAAATAAAATGCCTTTTCTCCTCTGAAGGACAGAAAAAGGTTGAATTTGTAAGTATCCTTAGCACTGTCGGTAATATATTGTCCAAAAACCACTTGTGTAGTTCTTGGCTTTTTAGAAGTTCTGCATTGTTAAGTCAAAGGAGCTGAATTTGAAAGGTTTCCTCAGTATTTCTTCATACATAGGACATAAAATAAAAAAATACTGTTTTTCAGACCTGCATTTAGTCTACAATCTATTTTGCCTCTGGTTTTACAGAAGTGTATTTGTGGAAGTCTAAGGGAAGAGAATGTAAGTAGGTAAGAGTCTATACCTGTTTCTCTACACGTAGGTTGTTTTCTGACTTTAAGGCAGCTCTAGTACAGTATAATTGTGTCTCCTTTCCTTTTCCTTCCTGCTCTATTCCCAGTCTGGAAGACAGAAGAATTGCCTTTCAAGGAGGAAGACCACAAATCAATTTATTGTTGCAGAAGATTCAAATGGTGGAGCTGAAGAGTAACTGGATCAGCTGCAGCAGTTTTTTCACATAT